TAACAAAAGATATTAGAAAGCGGCTTATCAAAACCTATATCTGGAGTATAGCTGTGTGTGGATGTGACGTGGACATTAACTCAGAAGGAAATGGATAAACTTAGAGCCTTTGAAAAGAGAAGGATGAAGAAAATTAGCTGGAGGGATCGAATTAGCAATGAGGTGGTCCTGCTTAGGGTTAAGGAAAAAAGACAAATTATTATTACGACACGACGAACTTATGAACATTATAATAGAAGGTAAGATAGAAGGAAGAAGGGGGAGAGGGAGACCGAGACATAGTTACATCAGGCAGATCAAGGAAGGAGTTGGTGTCGTGTCGTATCAAGAGGTGAAGAGACTCGCTGAAAATCGTAGTGAGTGGCAAGAGCTCCACCGACAAGAGCGCAGCTCTTAAATGGATAGATAGATAGATGTAGGATTATATATTATTTTGGCCATAATTATTGTTTTCCCCCAACACCATGACATGTACGACACCTACATTGCAAAACTATTATTTATTTATTTAACTCTTTATTGCATCAAAAACATAAAAATAAACAATGACACAGAATACAGATTAAAATATATGTACATATCAAGATACAAAAGGCGGTCTTATCGCTAGGGCAATCTCTTACAGACAACCTTTGGTTAAAGGAGAACATATAAAACTATCCAAATGTAATCAAATCAATCGAATTCTAATACTATGTAACTAACTTATAACGTTATCATATACTTATATGTGAACATATTATAATATATAATAATATCTTAGAAGTATAAATACTAGATAGAGACGGTTATTCTTAAAACTTTACATGGTATTGTAATGAATTAATCATCATCATCATATCAGCCTTTAACTGTCCACTGCTGAACATGAGTCTCCCACTTTGGAGGGGTTTTGCCAGTAGTTACCACGCTTGTCAGACAGATTGGTAACCGCAATTAGGCTTTAGAGATGTTTTAAAAGGCACGCTGTAGCCCATCCCTTGACCTCCCTTAGCCGCCTCTTACGACGTGCACAAGAAAGGAAGGGGTGGCCTATTTTATGACGAAACCACACGGAGAATGAATTAATAATATATTGTAATTATAAAATTGATAAACTATTCTAGATAAAAATCTTAGATTTGATAGTAAAATATACCTTATGACTAGAGAGCTAAAGTTATATGTTCACGAGCGCTTACACGACAATTAACGGTACTAAATGTTATGTAAGTACCTATCTTTTGTGTCATACGTTCCCGACTACTCCCGTATAGGCAGTTGCAATTAGTCTTCCGGCATTGTAGGCGCAGACAATTATACAAGTTGGCGTTATTGCACGGACATAGTTTAACACTGATTATCCGTGTGGTGCGAAGGGACGTAGACCACACGTAAGCGGTCAGAACTCGGCTAGTCCGTTTTAATTGCGTTCTGGGAACGTAATCGAGTTACCGTTAGTGTATTTACACCTCTAATTACTTTCGCTTGGTCTAAACTGTTACAGTAGATAATTGTTTTTTATAAATCCGCCAAGAGAAATGTACGCACATTTTGTAGAGTATATTAGGATTTCTTCAGTGTCATTAACGCAGACGAAACATTTCTGGTGTTACAAGCGTTCATAGGCTGCGACGACCATTTATTATCAAATGGGTGAATACTTGTTTGTCACCCTCATTATATAAAAAAAAATCTAGAGTGGGAAATAGACTTCCGTTGTTAATTTTAATATAACGTAAAATATTTACAGTATTAAAAAGAGACAAATTATACAATACATATGCGAAATTATACCATAAAAATATGTCATACGGTAATTAATGTAGTACAGATGCAGTACTTAACGAAAACTAATTGGTAATTACAGAAATATCTAAAATTCATAATCATATTATTTATATATACGAGTGACAACAAGATTACTAGAATATCCCAGTTGCATTTCATAGTACTTACTAGAAATACGTTATATTTTTAGTGTCGAATACGATGTCATTAAGTAATCATCAATGATACAGCAAAGCTGTGTTGGCAGAGACCACGTTAGCGGATATTGTAAACAAAATGCCAGTTCTATTGAAGAGATATGAATCCAGGAAATACATCGACACTGTAATATTTGTGCAAATATGATACATTATTATATTATTTTTTTTATTTCTAAATCGTATATACCATACATTTTCTAATTTATAGATAAATGCCTTTCAGAAACAACACTCTGACACTTAATCAATTAGAGATATAATTATAAAGTAATTTTTAGCAATATAATGCTTAAAACATAATAATATATTAAAGAAGTGTACAAAATTCGCAGATATTTTAAACCACACTAAAGCAATTCACTACAACTCTATAAAATTCTGGAACAATCCAAACACAGAACGGATTTACCGGCGCGCAACGTTCCAAAAAAATCTTTATACATTTTTCCGCGAGAACTTGGCTGTTATGCAGTAACTGCAAATAACAAACATGTAATACAATCTTCCAGAAAATCATTTTTCCTTTATTGCGGAATGTGGATCAGACTTTAAATTCATTGAGAGAGGAAACACAATGTTCACAACGCTATTTTGAGCTCTTCCATAAATCGTACCATCACGGAGATGTTTAATCCATTGTTAATCAACTGTGAGAAACCTATTTCACAGCTAGAAACGATCCTTTGATCCTTTAATATTAACTTTTAATGACTGGCCATTTCACGAGAATTAATATGCAATTTGCATGTTAATCGTCCATTCGACGGAAAATCGTAATTTTCGTCAAGATGAAGTTTCTTAAGGTCGTTAATGAAATTTTCTGTGAACGTAAATTGTCCCTAATTGAAAGGTCCGAATGAATAATTTCTGCAAAGAGTTAATAAATAGTTTTCTTTGGAACTTCATTTTAAAAACAAAACATACTAAATTAAAAATTGTCTGACCGAGAGCACTTTTTAACGCGTAGCCGTTACAAAATTATCAGCTCTGCAACTTTCTAACTTAGATTGACTTCTTCAAAAGTTCTTTAAACTTTGAAATTAATCTAGAATATAGTTACTTTTACCGTCATCTTTACGCTATCCAAGCTTTCATCCTTGAAATTAAGTCTTATAAATGTACGTTTACTCTTCTTATAACAATTGAAGTTAGGCTTAAGGCCGTCTAGACGAACCCAAGTAATTTATTTCAACTTATCGGATCATTTGCTAATCTTACTTCACATTAACGAAAATCCGTAAAAAGATTTCAATCCTTAGTAATATTATAGATGTGAAAGTGAGTTTGTTTGTTACTTCTTATCACCCTAACGGCTCAACTAATTACTATGAAATTTGGTATACATGTACATTACAATACAAAGTACAGGTTAAAGACAGTACTTTTTATTACGGTCAATGAAAGTATTCCGGTCACGCGGACAAAACTGCGAGTAAAAGCTATATTTTTATTTTGCGTACACAGTCATTTACTGTATCCCCTAATACATGATTCGAAAAATTCTTTCACCTGTACAAAGCCACGTTATCAAGGAGCAAACTTAGCTGCATTAAGAAAAATCATGCAAAGCAGGGGCTGATCGCTAATGTCTAATAAACATGGATCTACACCCGACAAAAAAATCGCCATCGCCTGGATTAGATTGATTTGGTATCGATGTAACACATTACCGGATAGTTCCGATATCTAAATACTTTAAGAAGTAATCTGGTTTTAAAATTTAGCTTAAATACTTGACTGGATTATCAAAGACAATTTCTGTTTCAATATCGCTCACTATCTAGAATATCGTGTTGTAGCGAAACTTTACACCCGCGATGCTGTAACTTTATTACCGCCGACATTTGAGTCGTAAAACATCTATGAATTGGATGTTAATCCCACGACCCCTTTTTATGGCATAATAATAAGGGTGCAACAATTTACATGTCTTGTTCTAACAAGTTTCTCTTAGTATGAGAGAAGTTATTGAATCTCATAAAATTTAATACTTTAATACTTACCTGCTTGAAAACGTTGACAGAAATTGTTGTTTTACATCTTTGTATTAATACAACTTTGTATTTAGTCTGTTGTAAAATAGTGTTCTAACGTGAAATTATTAATATAACTATTTTTTTATTGAATTTTTATTAAAAATATCAATTGTCACAACATAATCTGATAATTTGAAAGTATACAGTTTTTTTTTTATATTTTTGATTATTGAAGATTGCAAATTTCTAAGACTCTGTTATTGCCATGTATATGTATATGGTATATAAGTATGTACTATCCAGAAATATGGTAATGAGTATATATCGTTTGGCATCCACCCAACCAGCGATACCAAAGTTTATGAAGGCTAATATTTTCAAATTCTTGAAAAAAGCAAACTCAAGCATTTCCAAGCGACATTAGGAAAAATAAGATAACGCCGGAGTAAGTTGAAAATCTGCCAACGCTTGGATAGTTGTGAGAGTGAATCTATTGTGGCATAAAAATGCAATTTCCATGGTACATTGTAGCAGATTTCCCTAGACATACGGAGTTTCGATTTGAGGTGAATTAACTTGGTCGTATCTGATCTATTGAATGATTTAGGTGGAATTTCCCACGGATGTGTCTTCAATCCCAAGAATGAATTATAAAATAGGCGATATGAACAAATATTATACAAGAAAATTTTAAATATCATAATAGTCAAATTTAAATATAGATTTTATTTGCAGTATGCCATTAATATACAGGAAATAATTAGATAGATACACAATCGGAGACCAACCAAACATTGCACTAAATTTTAAGCATCCAGTAATGTCAATAATCGAACTTTGATAAAATTTCTTATAAGACCAATCGGTATCCTTTCAGATAAAAAAAAAAATCCAAATAGGTTTAGAACTAATGGAATTATGAAGTAACCAAGATAAATAAATAATATAACCGATGTGAGAACCTCCTTTTTTTAAATATTTTGACTGAAAATACCCATAACAACATGATTTTCTATTAAAAAAAAGTAAATTTATTTTATTATTTATTATTTAAACACAATGTAATGTCAAGTAAAATGTAATTTGAAATTTATTACAGAACATATCGTATTTAATATTAACTGTGAACCATACTAAACATTCGTACCGTAATCTTTACATAGTTTAGCGACGTGGTGAACAGCGACAGCGGTACGACGCGGCAACGTAGCGACGTCGTCCCCGGTAGCTGGGCGCACGTTGAACGCTTGAAATCTAGATGTGCCTGCCATCATTCTACCTATAACCCTGCAAATTGTCAATGGGCCCTTATCATCGCGGAAAATTAAAATTGTCCTTATAAATTTACGTATACATTTTGCTTTGCTAATCATCATCATCATCATCATCACAGCCAATATCTATACTGTTAAATATAGGCCTCCTGCATAGACTGACATTAGAAACTGTCCTGGACCACTAGTATCCACTGTCTCCCTGCAATGCATTTGAGGTCGTCACTTCATCTAGTGGGGGTCGTCCTACATTGCTTTCCTAATTACGTCATCAAATCATGGTGATCAGTGAATGCTCGGAACCTAAATTTGCCTGCCATCATTTTGCCTATATCCCTGATATATATTATCATAACAATATGGGTGAAAGGAATTTTTAATACCACAAAGGTGACAAACAAGTCAGTAACAGAGACTTCTTTAAGAATAATAATAGTATAGTAATCCCGCTTATATTATCGGTTTATGATGCGTAATACCTCTGGTACTGCAGGCGTTTTATAACCGCTTACCATCAGGTGGTCAGTGGGCCATATGCTTGTTTGCTACCTCAGTGGTATAAAAAAAATGATGGTAGTGTACTAGTAAGAAAAGGTGGGTAAGGATGAACTTATACCAATTAAACTATCGTAATGAATTCACCAAGATTTTTTCCAGAGGTAAACGCGAACATGTCAATCTGATAAAGCATATTGCTAGTAATGGAATTACTAGTCCCTAACAATGCCTTTTAAACCTTAACGGCCTCATTGCTGCTCTATCTCCATTCGTTCCACCTTGAAAACCATCGTAATCAATTTCTAGTGAATTTGTCACAATAAATCGACTGACCTGACCTCATTGTCACCTATCATTACTCACAGGTACCCTGCCAGCGAATATTGATAGTCCGGACGGAGTTATCATTCCATTTTCACCCCATTACAAAATTGGTCCATCTGTTTTGTCCGCTATTGTACTTAAAATAGTATTAGAGCTATGATCTTATAAATTTGATAGTGTAACGTACGTATCCCTTAGAAACTATTTAAGGATACTGTCCCCAATATAAATAGCTTTTATGTTATGCCTCATTAAATTTTATCGTGTAATGCGATATTTATTACTTTATTCAGGTCTGCTTACATGTTTTACTTTACCTAAAATGTCTGTTTTATGGGTCTCTTTGCAAGTTACATGTTATAATAATACCTTCATAGTAGACTGGTAGACTGAATGTAGAATTTCCAATAAAATAGCAGTTTTTATAAAACGATTGCTAATATGGTTATTGATGTACTAATATAAATTATTAGCTAGTTTAACCAAAAATTGTTATATAAAATAAAATTCATATATAATATTATAAAAATTTTAGCATAATATAAAATTTTTATTTCAAATAAATTTACTCAATTCATCACAAGAACTAATTGGTAGTAGTATTTTCACATGAGTTATAATTAATATCTTATTAACATATGTATTATAAACTTAAAAATTTGTAAAGATGTTTTAATTTTTGTCGCTAAGATCTAAATGAAAGAACGAATTTGCCATATTTCGATTATAGGCCACTATTTATCCAGTTTATTGAACATATTTCGGTAATGTTGACAAAGTTATGAGAAATAGCTTGTCATTAATAACTCTAAAGTGTGATTATAATGTTATGACTCACCTAATAGTACAAGGCGGTTTCAGTTCAGGCAGTAAAAAGTCAACCTCGTAATAAACGACCTGCATAGCTGGACCGTTTTCGTCTCTCACCACTAAATTCTTGGCACACAATTCGCCAGCTCTCACACTCACACATTTTGCTGAAATCAGTGTTTATCTTTTAAATATTAAAAAAAAAAAAAAAACTAAATAACATTCACGAAAATGATTTGAACTACATGCTAACATACAGGTATACACCATAAATAAACTTAAATCTCACATACACTCATCTTTGGTAATCACATTTTAATTGCTTAAAGGTTTCAATTTATGTTTAATAAAATGAAAGGGAACAATTTGTGTTTGAAATCACCTAATGAACTACAGCACATTTTGATGTAGTCGCATACATTTATTAGTTTTATTGACATCAAAGGAAATATTTTACAGGTGTATTGTAAGCAGTTTTTATGAAAAGTCTCATATTGTAGTACAAAGAAATGTCCTTCTAATTATAAAGAAACAGAACACCTTAATTGCAGACATAGGTATATATATTATTTATACTGGGTACCTTAAGTACATTCATACTTTAACTTGACGAAATAGGTACATATATTTTTTAAAAACATTAAAACAATTTTCAAACATTCTCATTGATTATGTAAAAAGTGCACTGATATCAAACTTAAATAATCGTAAAATAAATTGTACATAAATCTATCTTTAAAAATTATACAGTTACTTTATTAATTGGAATTTTTTAAATTGGTCCTTTTTGCCATCAAAATATAAATTTTGAGTGATATCCTAATATTGATTCTTATTGTATGATTAACATTTTAGTTTGTAATCAGAGCACTTATAAAGTAAACAATCTGAAACTTAAAAATTGTTCAACTGTTTTTTTAATCAAGAGATAACAAGATAACTACGGAGCTTTGTTTTTGGTGCATTCATTAGTCATACATTATGTGAAATATATTTGTTTAAGGCCTTATCTTGTAAATTTATGATAGCTGTAATAGTTGACAAAATGTTATATAATAAATAAATAAATAATGTCACACGTTGCAAATCTTCGGTATGAACGCTCTTTATAAACTGTCTTCTGTAACAAAGTCACTTACCAACGATCTCATAAAGCACTAATACGCCGATATCTTGTAATGACTTGTGCCATTTGAGAATCTTTTCCACCGGACCGGAGAACACTCGTGTTCCACTTTTGTATAATGCCTGTGTACATAATTTATTCCTGATTATTTTCTAATTAATATCGAAGTAAAGGCGATTATAAAATAAGACAATGCAATTATATAAGAATGATAGATATACCATGCGCTACTCATGCGAGTTAAAAAAAATAAATAAATGAGAAATAATAAGTAATATACAAGTATAATAATATATTTTATATATATAATAATAAATTATATTATATCTGCTCATGTCTATCGGCGACGGTTACCACTTTCCATCAGGTGGGCCATCAGCTTGTTTGCCATTCTTAGTTGCATGAAAAAAAATAGTCCCTTAGCACTTAATTATCTTTCTTACTTCTCAATAAAGAATAAACGTTGCAGATGATTGAAGCATAAAGATTTTGAGTTATACTATATCATGTTAGTATCTTACTAGTATAATAAAATTGTCACTATGAGTAGATGATGTATGTACATTAGAGATATATAAGAAAAACCGATATGAGAAGTCTTAATAAGAAGAATAGAAGCTAAAACAATATTTTTTAGAATTTTCTTCTGTCTGAATGTTTGTTCCGATATCACGCAAAAACTACTGCATAAAGTTGTATGCGGTTCTCACAGTCGTATAACTGAAGGTGTAACTTAAAAAGTGATATAAATTTACTTTAAGAGCTATTTACAAGTATTTTTTTCAGTTAAATTTTTAGTTTAATTTTCCTACTTCTAAAATTCAAGAGTACAAAATAACCGGCAAAAGCTAATTATATAATATAATATAAATATAATTATTATAAATAATTACTAAAAGGTTGTAAAGATATTTAATTGTTAATGTTGCCCTGCTGAACAGATTTAAATGAATTTTAACATAAATGTAGGTTATATCCTAACATAATACATAGGAAACTTTATATATAGACACAGCTAGTTAAGCATAAAAATTATTCTTATGGTTCTACTATCCCGTAATTTCAGTACCATAAGAATATCACCTTTTAAACTAGAATACAAGCAATAAGTATAGCTGCCTAGTAGTAGAAATAAATGAAACTGGTATCTAAATATGCAGATATCTCTGTACAAGGCATTCCTTTGTGATCCAACGAGGTATCGTATTTTTTTTGGGTCTATTGTCTGGGGTTTGACGTAGTAACTATTATACGAGTATCTGGGGCTTAACATCGCGAACACTCATGTTTTGCTTATTTCACTGTTTTTCATTAATTCCTTCTATTATTATTTTTTTACTACTTTGTACTGAAAAGTGAATGTACACACACAAAACGGGCTTAATCTAAATCATAAATTTAATCTACGAGTATATAGATATTTATTTAAATCTGTATTTAAATATATTTTAAAAGAATTGTTATGAGGGTTCTTATAAGATCAATAGAAGTCAAGACAACAGTTTTTAGAATTTTAGTCTGAATGTTTTCTCTAATACCACACAAAAACTACATTATCGTATTTTATGTGATTTTCATATTGTATTCTTAGAACGCGAACTTGTAATCTGGTATATACTCATATTTTAACCTACCACTAGACTTGTTTATTTCATTTTCAATATTTATTCATCTTGTAAAGTTGAACATTAATACATCTGCTCTCTTATGCGTGTGCCTAATGTTAACATATACATATTGAATAATATTTATTTAAAAATACCATGTAATTTATACAATATCTGAGTTAATTATATTGGTAAAGGTACATTAGTCACGATATTTCACTCCAAAGAAAATCCAATGAGGTGTAAACATGAACTTAAGAAGTTCACAGATACGGAATAAAGACTTGAAAATGTCTCGCAGCCGCACTTGTCTGTCGACGCTACACGAAGTGATTTTTTATTTCTGTTTTTATTAGAAATATTTTTCATTAAGTTGAAAAAGGAAGTTCTCGATTTAGTGTTTTTATTTCTTTTTTGACTGGGTTATAATTACTTTAAAAATGTTTCTACATTTATTTTGTTAAAATTAAAGTCAATTACTTTTTATTTTTGATTTTATTTTACATTAATTTATTTTGAATACATTTCCATCACGCCTGTCTGCCATTGTCGTGAACTGGAATAATTGAATGTCGGATAGTCTAATTTAAAAGACCAATTTAATTTCTATTCATAGAAGCTCGCAAGTTACTCGTTTTAGTCTTGATCCTTAAACTGTACGTCACCATCAAAATTTTGACACACATACACCCAAAAAATATGATTCTAGCAACTATATAAAAAAATTTTATCTACGCATAACCATTGCTAGAGTCAAACGTTTACCGAAAAACTTAAACTCACTGAATAAAAAATACTAGTAAAAAGGCAGAAAAACTTTATAAACCCCAATAATAAAACGCCTAACATGCGTGATAGTAGTAGACTATATACTCCTGTTATGAATGAACTTGTACTCAGTAGTAAAATGTTAATAAAGAAATATAGCTTGTATATAGTCAACATTCCCTTCCTAGATCATATTTTTTATAAATGCAAAAAAGTCACTAATCGTGAAATCATAAATCTTGGTTGTAATAAGCAAAAAATCGGAGACAAAGCAACGGATATTGCATCTAACGGACGTACCGGAGTTCTTCCTTCAACGGACTTTATTTACTTCGACTAAATCACTAGCCATTACTTTTGAAAATGACAAAGAGGAAAGTGCTAGCAGTTACTTTTATTGGAGGAATTCTTTTCTGTTTTTATTGTATGAAGTTATAATATTATTTGATTAACAAACCGGATAATATACTAAGGTAATTTTCGATGGTTATGCTTATAAAGTCGTAGTTTCTTACATTAATGAACTTAGGTGGGATGTATTTCATACAAACATACACACACATACATATGTATATACTTAATTTGTTAATAACATATATAGTAAAGGGTATAACGGGATAAGTCTGTGATGAATATAACGATATAAGGTAGTCGAAACGCAATGTTTTTAGAAGCAATAAGTATTTTTCGGACCAGGAACCAAAGTCAAAATTTGAATTTAATTTTTGAAACATTTATACGAGTACAGAATCAGTCACGTGACTCAAATGTATATCTTGAAGGAAGTTCTTCACTTTCATGAATATTCTAAGTTGTTTTACCTTTTACATTAAATATCATACAAAATACTAATAAAATCTGTCCTACTCAATCCCGTTTGTCAAATTGTTAAAAATATTTTTCGTACAAAAAAGATCAGAATAACGGTTATTTTAGTAAATATTTAACGGAATCCGGTTATCGGGAAAACAATATAAAAATCAATCGTAGTATTCGTAGTAAATCTGCTACGTTAAATGTTTTTCAATTGTTTTTCCTTGTCTATGTCTATCCATAGTTTTCCCTACAGAATCTATTTAAATAGATAATACAACTATATATACTACAACTAGAATGACACATAGAAATAAAATGTCAAGTTTTATTCTTTTTCTATAGCATCATATTAGTAGTGTTTTGAATGAATGTAAAATTTATTTATATAAATAAAAATAGCAAATAAACTGACGGCCCTCTAGAAAGTGGTAATCGTCGCCTAACGACATGAACAGTACAAAGAGCAATGAATACTAGATATAGATATAATAAAATTTGTATGATCAATTTGAGAATTTGTAAGAGACTAGTAAAACCTGAAGTGTAACCATTTAGGTGCAAAAAGGCTATCAGTTTTTATAATATCACAATAATTAGATAAAATGTAACTGTATTGCTTTCATATTAGATTGAAGTTCTCTTTCTATGTCTGTGATTTCCCCTATTTCGACACCATTACATCCGCTATGGTCACGGAATGTTTGTTATCACCAGACAGGCAGACGATTAAATGCACAAACGGATATTACAGGGGCTCACTTAGTTTCGCGATTTAACAGAACAGTTGGACCGGAAAAATCAACACATGTGTGACTGTTACGCTACTACTGCGTTATTTAACTGCTAATACATATATACGCTAAAATACTCTCCTGAATCTACTGATTTAAGAAGTATAATAGAAAAAATTCCTCTATTCATAATATTTTTTTAACAACATAGAACCTTTTTTATTGGATAAAAAAATTTACTGAAATAGATGTTATTTAGCGGAAGTCCAAGTTTAATCCAACTACTATTAGTATAATAAAATCCAAAATACAAATCTATCCTTGAGGAAAAGATGAGAGGATGCAGTGCCAAGGGACAGTGTGAAATGTGGAGGAAAACGTGTAAGATCAGAGCTCTTTTCTGATTTTAATGTAGTGTACAGAAGACTACATCGAAAAAAGGTCAAATAACGAAGGAAAAACTAAGAAAGCTAATCCAATACTAAGCTGGATATGTAGTAAAGAAGAAAATGAGTAAGAAAATACAGCAACATCTCTTGTTATTTGAAGTAGGTACATATATCAAACTTTTAACTGCATGTTTTGGTTTATCGGGACTGTAAAACATAATTTTTCATTGCACGTGAGGCAAATACAAATAAAATGGACCATAAATTTTATTAATATCCCACAGGCAAGCGTTGTTGTTTTTTTTTTTTTCTATACATCCCAGCCCTTTTATGCCGCAGCTTCATAATGTATTACGTGAGTTCTTTACTGGCTCTATAGGCGGTTATTCAAACGTTTTTATAAAGTGTACGCGATGAGAGTTCTCACTGGTAACTTCCTTACAAACTTATTTAAATGGACGCCCTAGTTAATGCACTTAGGGGATGAATTTTCAATAATTTTGATTCACAGTTTTCCACTCATTTAATAAACTGTTCAAGTACAAGAATTCTTTACATTTCATTGATCAAGTTGTATACTATAAATGTACCAAACATAATTTTTTAACCACGTACATTATTTGTATATATTCATAATATAACTAAGAGTAATAGCAAAATAAAAAAAATCTTTTAGTTTGCTCACGAGCAATTTTTAAAATATTCATTTAATAAAACTGAAAAAGCTTTATGTTTAAAGGATAATGCAAATGTTGAGAGACTTTAGTACAAATATTCTTAATAAATTAGTGGTAGTTTAATTAGTCTGATTACCGAGTAGCATCGCAGAATGAAGTAAGCGCAAAACTAAATTAGTGAGTTAACTCTAGTTTAATAAGTTTACTTACTTTAAGTTTATCAGAACGACTCATGAGTACAATTTGATGCTCGTGTTTGGAGGTTCCTAAATTTTCTACCTTTGACGACGCTGAAAAAATTAATTATTTATTTAACACATATTACATTATTTATTTAGGACTCATCAAGTGAAATCATAAGCTTTGCGGCTTTTTTATGTAGCGCTGACATTTATATGAGTAATTACAAGATACTAAAACTATATCAATCAAAACTTATGTGTACATACGAGTACATTATATATATATATATATATATATATATATATATATATATATATATATATATATATATATATATATATATATATATATGTACTCATATAGTTAAGTGTGTGTGTGTGTGTTAAGATGTGTCTAAGATGTAACACATAAACGCAAATAATGCTTATTTACTCTAGCACACTAGCTTTGAAAGATTCCATATATATAAAGTGACCCAGAGACACCGAAACAGATTCTATATAAGAATTTTGAATAGGATAAATATTTTTTTTATACAATTTAGAATAGCAAACAAGCTGACGGCCCATCTGATGGAAAGTGGTAACCGTCGCCTATAGACATAAGCAGTACCATGTACATAACAGAGTATACTGTTTCGCCCATGATACCCCCCATGCGTTGCCATTCCTGAGGACTCAGGTATTATTCCTCTGTAACCTGTAAATTCACGCCATATCCCACCCTTTAAACCGAAACACAGCCATACAAACACAACTGTTTCACTTTATATAAACATACATATATATAATTTGAAAGTTTGGAGGCAATCATGTTGGAATAGTTGAATAAATTTCGAAAAAAATAAATATAGTCATAACTGAAAATCTTCGTATATAAACATTATAGAATACGCTGTGATGTCCATAGTTAGATTTATTCTTTTACTACTTTACAAATAAACTAAAATTTTAAATAATAAATATGTATCTAGATTCCCTTTGCATCCATCATTGAATCTACTAAAATTATATATTAAAAAAAAAAGAAATATCGCATGTATAAGAAGAGACAAATAAGTAGACGTCAAAATGGAAATTTAATACAGGTCTATGAATTCATTGAATCGATTGAAAACTCTGTTAATACAATTATGTAATCTTTGAACCCAATGATCTGCCTCCAGTTAAATAGATATTTTAAGAGTATTACACATAAGGCTTAAATTTAAAATATTTCTTAACATAAGAATAAAATAAAAGTCCTCTTTATTCAAATAGAATTGTTTACGAGCTCTTTTAAATCTACAAATAATATTAATATCAAATTGAAATTGTTATTAACTTTCACACATTTTGCCGAAAATAAACTCAACAAAGAGTGAGTCTACTTAAACTATATTCATTAGAAATTTAAATTAACATCAAATTTTAGCTTCATACAAAAAAAATTTACTCATAATTATCACTATAAATATCTCGAGTCTGTTGAAAAAAAAATACAGGAGTCTAATATTATTTTTTATTCATTTAAATTAATTAAATTTCCGTATTTTCTTTATATTGTAAAAACGCCTACACTAAAAATTTTTAATGTGTCCACTACATATTTCGTCCGTTGATTGCTGTAGTGATTTGTGAAAATCAACTAAATCTTCTCGATTTTCAAAAATCCTTCTACCACAAAATAATCATAATTACCAATAAATATTATTAATAATTTATTTTTTACAGTTTGTCAACTGTAATAATACCATCCCTTACAGATATATAAGATATTTCCTTCGTTTATTGCTTAAGTATATAAAATACATTTGGCTAGCCTGGAGACCTATATAGAAACTGTAGTAAATAAATTTCAACATGACGACAAACTTGTAACAACTCACTGTATTTATAAAAGACTCAAACTTCATTTTGAACATCGGAACCGAGAATTCTATTTACTGAAAACTTTATAGCAACAGAAACAAAGATGTAAATCCGTTCGGTTAGTAAATGTACTCCTTTAATTAAATCACGTCCTTACACGATGATAGCGGCGACTTTTTGAACTCATAACCCATTGGGGCGCGACTCGAGAGCGGATTCAACCAAGTATCACAAAGTTTGTCTTTAGAACTTAGTTCTCTCGAAAATACGGAGTAATGAGCTTGTTAGGGCGAGTTAAGGAGCTTTAGCTTCGCGCACGTATCTATGGAACTACCACACCGCTAGGTTTAACCCGAGTTTATACAAGTTTGGAAGGTGTTACTCTGTTTTCGATACAAAGTATTACAGAATTTAGAAAAGTCTATATTTATGTAAGAAATTTAAAAATTAATATAAAATTCATATCTAAATATTAAAAATTCATTTAATAACGAATATTACGCGGATGAATAGTTGTAGTCGTACGTTAAACATTTCGAAGTATTTACTTACTGAAATAATTAATACAATCTAATGACCTATTGAATTCACCCATCTTTATCGTAGACTAAACGATTTTGTCTACATTTGCCAACGAGTTGCCAATCCGACTGCCAAGAGTGACAACTATTGGCAAAACCCTCCAATAGGAGGTCTCTGTTCAGCAGTAAACAGTTAATGGCTAGTACGATAATAATGATCAAACAATTTTAAATTAATTGCAATGAAGAGGTTGTCTGAGCTTATTTTACAAATAGTCTTTTAAATAAATCTTTACATACATACATTTGAAGAGACTCAAGCACCCACTTACCTGCTTTTCGAGACTACACGCATATCCTATAATAAATAGGCCATAAGTTACAATAATTGTTTACAATAAGACGAACCGTATACTTATTTACCACTCTTGAAGTATAAAAAAAATTATCACAATACGTTCGTTATAAACGCCAGCACAAACTTATTTAGTTACACGTTCAATGCGTGACAAACTGAGTTTGTCACAGTCACATTCATTAGGAACTTTATTTTAAAGCCTTTTTCATTACAAACACAATTTGTTGTAAATGTGATACGTCACTTACTCAGTTCATCACTATATTATACTACATGTATAATAGTCATGAGCGCTATTGTATAAAGTGTATACCTATTTAAATGTTCTCATTTACCGTTTGTAGGTGTTTGTGGTGTAGTTTGCTGAACTTGGAAATCTCGTCTAGGTGTTTTGGTTTCAGTAATCGCAAAATCCTTGTTAGGTGGTACTTCTGTCCTTTGTAGATTTTCTGGATTGCAATCATTATTTTAATAAGAGTTAATTAAGAATTAATTAGAATATAAATGTCGTATGATAGAATATACATATCAAAGTAATAGTTGTTATGTATATAGGTACAATATGAAAATAGAGGGGGGAGGGATTATTAGTAATGCGAGCATGCTAGCGGTCCCATTGTCAACGATATACCCTATCAGGTCGACCTTCACCTGGTCCCCCCTGGAAACGGTCGTGCTGAATTCCAGATATATTAATCACGATGAGCTAACTGACCTGCCTTTTCATCTTCACCTAGCATACCTCACTGGTGCCCCGCCAGCGTATACCGTTACCGCAAACGGGGTACCATATCATAATCATCCATTAAAAAAAATATGAAAATAAATGGATGTACCTAAATTACCATGGAGGAACTGGAATGTTCTATCATGACTAAATCGAGCATCTTTTATGAAATCATGAAAATTATTACATTTTTTAAATTTCAATATAACAAGTAGCAACTACTGTAGTAACTACATTTATGTCAACGTTTTCGAGGTCGTTTAGGTTACAAAAGTAACGCAGAGACAGGACCAAGAGTTTCATAAAACTTACGATAAATAGTTAAAATTTTGTTCCCAAAAATATTTATCTTGACATAATTAACCATTAATTAACAAAATCAATTTTAATACATAAATTTTTGTAATCGATAAGATTAGAAAAATATATGTATTAAAATCTATTTTGAATTAGGGAAGATGTAGCATAACATAAGAGTACGTACAAACAAAAAATCACATAGTCATACCTAAGTATCATTAGCGAAAATATGATAAAGTAAAAAAAAATAGTCTAAATAAGGAGGTCCCCTTTCGAAGTAGATGAACAAAAATAAATAACCCAAATAGGTTACACTATTAAGCACATTATGGTTTAATAAAAGCGTAGTTCGTACCTACCTTTAGACATTTGCGGTTGAAACATTTTAGCCTTATTTCGTTCCGGCGCGAGCAAATTGCGATTTTGATAATCACGCCCAAAAGGCGAGTTAATAGGCATAGCCGACCTTTCTTGTTGCATTAAACCTAATAACAAATAAACTGTTTATTTTATTTAATTATTATTGTAAACGAGGAATACGCGAACACATAGGTATAGAAATAGTCTAAGCTCACAAATTATTTTCGCTAATAGATTTACACAATAAATGTAATATCTGTTATAGCGCAGTGAATGTAGTTAATGGATAATATATAGTTTTAACAAAATTCCAAGCCAATAACTTTAATTATCATTTTTTCCCATTTCCCATTATCATATTTTAAATGGACAGCTTATCGATGATAACTATATATATAAAAAAATAGCATAGGCCAGCGATTCCTAAACTTATACCTAAGGCCGGGTAAACAAGTCAGATCGACCTCCGTGCAGTCGCCCTTAACCATCGTGGTTAATTTCTGGTGAATTCATTACGGAGGGCCAATTAATCTGACTTTATTTTTGCCTATCATCACTCACTGGTACTATGTCCGTTTATACAAATAGGTCAGACGATAAACGATATAGATAGGCAGTATCCTACAGCTTCGCCCCCGTGAATCAGTACGTAAGGCATCCTAAGTGCTATGTAAGGATATACTTTATCTATGTACCAAATTTTATTCAAATCCGCTCAGTTTTTGCATAAAAGACATCATATATACTCACAAATTTTCGCGTTTACAATAGTAGGTAGTAGGATACGTAGAGGGAATAATTAATATTGCAATAGTAACAGTAGGATAGGATGTACCATTTGGAAACGGATTGTCTGTTGAGAATTTTTAAGATTTCTCATTTAAACGTATCTATAAATTATCACTAATGTAGAACTCTTTTGACTTTTTTATGAAACCACTCGGTTCTGCAGAACTCACTTTAAAAAATAAGTGGTTACGTACCGGTGGCGATGAAATTCGCATTGCCATCTGAATACGGTGCTAAATATCGAGGATCAATTCCAGAAATAACTTGACCTTGTCCTTGTCCTTGGAGATGCTAGAATAAAAAAAAAAACAGAATTACTTTTTTCTATTTTTAAAATCATTAAATTATGTAAGAATATGTTGACATTTCATTATACTGATTAGATTATTCTACACACATCTAAGTAGCTTATACATACATAATTAATTATGTAAATATTTATATCCAAAGACAAAAAACAAAAATAATCGATTTTTATTAATATTTTTTTTTTATCAAATCCCCATTTACCGCAATTCCTAAACACATCTACCATCTCTAAAAGTATTGAGATTATCAGTATCGATATCTAAATATGGAAGCAACTCTCAGCAGTATTTCCGAATAGACACGACATTGAAACCTTCAATAAAAGCATATATTCCCTCTTAAAAGGCTGACAACACGCCTGCAATTTCTTTGATGTTGTGGATGCTATGGATGGCGGCAATCACTTACTATCAGGTGAGCCGCATGCTCTTTAGATAGATAGATAGATAGATACTCTTTATTGTTTCCTCCAAAATTACAATAGTAAACTTATTATAAATATAAATAATTACAAGAAATAATCACAATGAGAAAACATATTATCGCTAAGAGCGATCTCTTCCAGACATTTCAGTTTGGTGGGAGGCACGATGAAAAATTTTGTTAGTTCTAAATTATTGATACATACACACATCTACACACACATAGCATATATATACATACATATATATATATATATATATATATATATATATATATATATATATATATATATATATATACACATATATACATATACATACATGGACATAAACGCCTACACAAATACATATAAAATATATAAACTGTTCACGAAAAGTATGCAAGTAATAAGTATGCTAGACATATAAACATATTAAGAAGATAAAAATAATAGTTCTTCAGTTTTGCTTTTTTTTTTTTCGTAAGGAAACTGGTAAAGCATTCCAAAGCCGTACAGCTTGCACCGTAAATGATTTGTCATAAAAATTAAAGAAATGTACCGGAATCTTCAGCTGAAGGCCCTCAGAAGACCTAAGATTAAAAGAATTGACGGTATGCAAGAATTCAAACCGTTCCTTCAGATAGTGAGGGGAAGAAGAGTTGAAAAGGGCATTGTGGAGCAGTGAAAGAATATGAGTATTCCCATTTACTGTAGTTCATATTTTCTAAGACCGAAAATAAATCTGATAAAAACATTTTGAAGACGCTTTTGTTAAGCCTTCCGTAAACACATCAAGAATAAGTAAAAGAGATTGGGATAGCCATTTTGGTAGCAGTAGGAAGGAAATTACTCTACGAAGTGAGCATACAGATCCGAAACTATTGACAGATTCTCAGTATCGATATCTAAATATGGAAGCAACTCTCAGCGAGTATTTCCGAATAGAACGACATTGAAATCTTCAAAAGCCTTACTCCAATCACTTATATGTTTAAGATAAAAGCATATATTCATATAGATGGTAGAGAGAAGTTAGTTGGTCAGATATTGAGTCAATAAGAACTGAAAAAAGGAGAAGAGACAAGACGCTTAAAAGTATCGCCGACAACACGCCTCCAAACAAGTAGTCAATTTCAACTACAGGCGGAGATGAAGAGAGCGTGTTGTATCAAAGTCGACGGTATTGAACGCATTACTAAAATCTAGCTATGGATGGCGGCCATACCCGATCGAATATCATCAGTAAACTTGACTAGTGCTGTTACTGTGCTATGACCGGGTCGGTAGCCAGACTGATAAGGGTTCAATAGGTTGTTTTCATAAAAAATTTTGTCAATTGAGTATGAATAAGGCGTTCAAGCATATGAAAGTGGTTTGAGATTCTCAGAATATTTGATTTTTTTTATATGGTTTTTAGCAATGAAGCATGAAAAAAAATTTTGTTTCTGTCCATATTCAATACGAATAGATAAAAAAATTCAGTCTTATCAACTCTACTTACCGTCACATTTCACAGTGGTATATAATTTCCATTTTTACAAGTGTCCATTTGTAATCATCATCATCATCATCATATCAGCCCTTAACTGTCCACTGCTGAACATAGGCCTCCCTCATAAAGAAAGGTTTTGTCAGTAGTTGCCACACTTGGTAGACGGGTTGGCAACCGCAGTTAAGCTTAGGTGATGTTTTACGAGGGACACTGCTGTCCATCGACCAGTAAATTTTCTTAGTTGCCTCGTAGGACACCTACGGAAAAGGCAGGGATGGCCCATTCTGTGCCAGGAACACACGGCAAAGCCCAATAGAAACATAATTTAACTTACTGTCAAATTTGGAGGTACAAAAGATGTTGAATTAACATATGGCGCGGCTCTTACAAACGATGGATTTACTCGCTGTACATTTTGAAATTCAGAGCCGTATAAGCCACCATAGTAAAGTTCAGAGGGGCTGAAATTGAATTAAATACTTAATAATAAACAGATATAAAATGAATATAGTAATTATGAAAACTTAATTTGGAATTGGCAACGTAATCACAAAATATATCTATTCATAATATTATACAGTATATTAATTAATGTAAACAATTCCTTAAAACTAATGTTAGTATTCATTAATAGATTACCTTTTTTCCTAGAAAAAAAATATACCGATTATATATATTTATTTATACTGACGGCACTATATATTAATAAGTAGATATGTACATACTGTACTGTATAGGGCCGTTGGTACATATACTTTTATTGTTTTTTTTTTAAAGAATTGTAATTTGTTTAGTTTTTGATTAATGAGTAAGTGTACTTAACACTAACCTATTACTTAAAACTAGTGAGTTTTAAGTAATGGGTTACGTTAATGAACATACAACAACATAAACATATTAAAAAAAAAATATCAGACGAATTGATAACCTCCTTCCTTAGGATGTCGCTTAACAGTGGGTTTATTTTTTTGATCTCTGAGATGAAAAAAACTAAGCCAGTTGAATTTAGAACTTCCTCCTTGCGAAAATAATGTCTTAGATGTTCTATGGAGTAAATAAATACCTATAAAAATGTATTCTTATCTGTTTTGATTTTATATTGCTTAAATATCTATACTAATAGCAGAGCAATAACAATTTGTATTAAAATAGTTACTGGTTGAATGATATGAACGAGAAGTTATAGGAAAAAATTACATAGTATAATGTTACCTACAGCTATATAAGTTTGTAATCAAAATAAACTCATAAGTAAGTAAATTACAAACTTACTAAATATCACTTTCTCCTGGATTTCCAGAATAGTAAACATGCTGATTTCCTTGTGGATACTCTAAAAATGTAAATAAGGTTTTTTAAGTTTTTAACTTAACTTTTTGGAATATGTTGATTGACCGAGATAAATAGTAGTTAAAAAGAAAAGATTTAACTTTCTCTATCCCAAATAGTACCTATGTGTAAACCAAATTTATGACGACTGATTTAAGAATAGGTAGCTAGAAACAGTTTGTATGAAAAAAAGAAAAACTAGCACTTTTTCCATTTTACCCCCTCATAATAACTTTCATCTGAATTCAACTAATATTTGAAAAAAAAATACGCCGAATTTGTATAGCCGTTCTCGAATTTTGCGTACAGCAATACATTTAGTGATTCATTTTTATTTAAATGAAAGATTACTGTATGTTCTTGCAAAAACTACTAGTGTAATAATATATACTAAGCTGAGAATACAAATTAGAATTTGGCTTATTACCTATAGGATATTTTTCTATTACTACAGTAAAATATCTTAGTTCTATTATGGTAAATACTACTCGCGAACATAAATCCCTAGTAAAACATATTAAAATAGTATTATTAAGTAATTTATCTCATAAAACTAAGAGTTTATATCTAGTTTAATTATCTAATAATTCGTAAAAGAGTTTATAATCCAATGATTTGATCGTTGATTTTTTATGACCTACCTGTTCCAACTCTTGGCTCTCGTGTTACAAATCTGTCCATTATCTATAATTTATGAACAAGTTATTGTTTGTACCAATATTTGTAAACAATTTTTTAACTCTCAAAACTTGCTATAATTTCCCGCCAATATTCAATTTTTTTTTATGTTTTCCTGCTTTATGGAAATGGTAGCTCCTAAGAAGCACGCATTTTTTTTTATTTACTACTTAGCCAATGAGATAACAAGAATAATTATTATAAAAGCTACTATGAAATTATAATTATTTCTCAAACTGAGTAAAACGCTCACATACAATTGCTAATTTAAAAAAGAATAATAATTACATAATATAGTGATTTCTAGTCGCTGGATAGGTTAAATCTTTAATTAAATACGTTATGTTAAATGAACTTTTATTATATTTAAAGCTTAAAAAACGCACTTTGAGGTCTGCGCCAAAAATAAAAATAATTTATAATAGTAAATTTAGTTCATAAATTGTTCAATAGAAGCAATACTAATGATCACTTGCTTTTAGGTAATTATAATTAAATATTCGAAAATTACCAAAAATGATTCCCGATAATAGCTACTCATTGCAATAATAATACAAATTGTCCAATATAATATCTTCATACGTCTTTCTTGAATGTATATTTATTAAAAGTAAGATACAAACGTCTTCAATGCTAAAATTTTATGATGCTTGCTATTTGAGTAAAAATTGCCTCCAAATATCGTGTTCATCTTTATAAATATCAAATATATTTTTCACCGTTTGCATTCAACTTGAAACATTATATGTTTTCCCACTAATTAAGAAAAAAAGCTGGATTCGCAAATAATATTCTTGATCTAAGAGTGTCTGTCAAATATAACAGCGTCACGTCAATTGAAAAATATTTGTATAAAATCTATACAACCAGTTCAAACGTTCAATAAATTTGAAATATAAGTAGTGTAATATACATATTAAGTCATTAATAAGAATAAAAGTATTATATTATATTCGCCAGAACATTTTACATAATTGTTTGACATAAAATCCTAAATCTATAAGTATATTCACATACGCACAAGTTATATCCTTCATATCCATAAACATCCTAGATCATAAATATATATCCTATAAATATTCTAGACCTAATCCTTATCCTTTCTAAATTCGCTTGAGTTAAGTATTTTTATTATTACTGTCGTTACCCCATTTTGTTCTTGCTAATATCTGTGCCTCTAGTGAGAAAGGGTTCAATTCAAAATGGTCACTTTTCAGGAGAGCCAAAAAACTATTTTAAATAAAGAAAAAAAATTCTGCTGCTTTTATTATTTGCTAATTGAACAAGTCAATGATTGCATTTATAGTAATTTTTTCTCCTCTTTCTTATAAATTGTATTTTTGCTATAGTTATAAAAATAATTCTAATACCTAATCACACTTAACAAAAATATTAAAATCTAAATTAAAACGATTTTATTGAAGTATTGAAGAAAAACAATGTTGTGTATTTTACGCTATAAAAAAATAATCGCTATTAAATGAAAAGGGTTCAAATCGAACTGATTCATTTTACAAAAATATTTTTTGTAAAATATTGTAGTTTTATTTCTAATTATAACTTTTTTACCAAAAATATTTTGTTAATTGTAGCATTTTACATGTTTACTATCTCTATTGTTTTTAAAGATATCGTTACGATTCTTATACCATTCGAAAGAGAAAAATTTGCTTATTAAAGTAGCCTAAAAAAGAAAAAAGGCTATAACTTGAGTTATATCCTTTCTCACTAGAGGCACAGATATATCCTAATATCGGGGTGAATGCCACTAAAGAAGAAAAAAAAATTTATGTCGTCACGACAAGTAGTTACGTTTTTGACAATATTTTTTTGTTTGATACCAATATATTGGACAGAGATAAAATATAAATAGTTATATAAGATTTAAATGTCCATTCAGTATACTGTATTAATTTTGGTATTTATACTTCTAGGTTGTTGCATAGTTTTACAGTCTCATCAATGTAATCTTTAATAACGTTGTGATTACTGATTCTGTGGTCAAAGTGAATGATTTGATTGAATGACAGATATTTTTCTATGTAGTCTGTGCAGATGCAGAGATGAGTTCATCACACAGATGACAGTTGATTTTTTCTGTACACTTGACTTACATTCTTATTTACTTTCCGTGTTTCAGTAAATTTATTTGAATTTTATTAACTAAAATTTTGTTATAACATATAATTTCTTTTAAAATGGAACTTCAAGATACTTATTATAATAAATCCGAATACGTAGAAACTGTAAGATACTTTCGTCATCATATTAATTCGAGTAAAAATAACATTTCACAATACAAATTAAAATTTGATTTGCAGGCTTCAGGAAATAAAGTGAGTAGACAGACAGTTCTATGTGGATCGCAGAATATTATATTACACGGTAAAGTCATTGTACAAAGTGATGCTATCATAAGAGGTGACTTGGCAAATGTAAAAACAGGACGATTTTGTATCATTAGCAAAGGATCTGTTATACGGCCACCTTTCAAGAAATTCAGCAAAGGGTACAGAACTATTATTAATACATTTCTATATGTTTTATAATTAAATGTGTGTAGGTTGTCCTTGTGGTGCTAGAGTAAGAATATACTGGAAATCCTCTTTGGTTTCGCACAATTAGATAGAAAGATAAATTAGTATTTACATTAAGGTATCTAAATTTTTTTTAAATTAATATTTTACTTGCTGATTTCAAGTGCTTTTTATAGATAAAAATGTTTTTCTTTATAAATTCAGTTTATCCATTATAAACAAAAAAGCAAATCTTTCGTCTTTGTAGTCGTATAGATATATTGAGATATAAAACTGAGTGGTTCACTACTGAATTTTATATCTCAATATAATGTCAGTGTGTCATAAAAAAATATTTAGCGGAACAAAGCATGAAATCAATGCAAGAAAAGAAAAAAATGCAATGAATCCCATTTGGCTAATATATTCTTATAGAGAAGGATTCTTCATCAAATAACTGGATGCACCACACATCATGCTTTTGCAGTTTGAATTTTAAAAATAAATTATGAAAATTTTATTTGATTTAAATAAATAATTTGAAATTATTTTTCAATAAAACATAATAATGAACATAGCTAATTAATTTTTTTCTTTCAGTGTTGCTTTCTTCCCATTGCAAATGGGTGATCATGTATTTGTTGGTGAGAATACAGTTGTGAATGCTGCTGTTGTCGGCTCATATGTTTACATTGGAAAAAATGTTGTCATTGTAAGTAATTTGATAACTGAGCTATGATGCTTAGTGAAATTAGTATATATTAGTATATATCCCTCTCATGAATACTTGTAATATTAAATGCCATTACATGTTGCTGTAGATTCTACCATCTACTTAGTAACTGATGCCATATCTCTCCTGACATACTGAATCACAGCATATATGTAAGCGCTTAATCAGATAGTCTTTGTATTCAAAATATTTGCTTATTACTTTCAGGGTAGAAGATGTGTGCTCAAAGACTGTTGTATGATTGAAGACAACTCTGTCCTCCCCGCTGAGACTGTTGTGCCCTCATTTGCAAGATACTCTGGCAGTCCAGCACGGCTTATCACAACACTACCAGAAGCTATGCCAGATCTAATGTCTGAGTTCACTAAGAGTTATTATCAGCATTTTCTACCCACTACAGTGAATTAGTTTAACAAAATTAAATACTAGCCATAACATGTGACTTTTGGTTGAAGAATTATGATGACAATCTTTTTTACTAATCCACAATGTGGTATAAATACCAAATTTTGTTCCAAGCTGTTCAGCTGTTTAATCATGATTGAATAATAAATCTCATAACATCTTTGTAAATTTATTATTGTTTGTAATATTATTATGGTTAATTTATATCACATGTTAAATAATAAATAAAGATTGCTACTTTGAAAATATTTAAATATAAAAAAATAATTATAGGAAAAGATTATATGGAACATTATCAATAAGCCACAACATATTGAATTGTGAAAATGATGAGCAGAAGAGGATGATGACATTTCCATTATTAAATTTTAAAACCTTGAAATTTTAGATTATGGAACATCAAAACATGATTCACTATCCAAGATCTAAAGTTACATACAATATACATATACATACAATATACATGCTAATAATTTCCATCTGTTATTGCACTATCATATTATTTATTATAATTATTATATCAGTATTCATAATTGTATAAATTAAAAATACTGTTTTTCTTTTTGTATTTTATTTATGCTGTGTTGTATTAAATCATTGTTAGTTATTAATAGCTTCTAAGTTGGTACATTACAGATTAGTGGCAGTAACATAATTTTTATAATGATAGTATTATTCAAATAATACAAAATATCAATACCCAATACTGTTTGTTTATTGAACTTTAATACATCTAGACAGTGTATTTATACTGTAGCACTAAATGGTGTTTCTTTTTTTAATGTGTGATAATGAAATAATGATCCCGCCTACGCTATCAGTATATATTAGTGGGGCACTAGTAAGAAATGATACTTGAGGATAAACACAAGTCAGTTTTTTTTAATGGATGGTAATAGAATGGTAACCCCATTTACGCTAAAGGTAAAATAATAAAGATAAAAAGGCAGGTCAGTTAGCCCATCATGATGAATACACATGAAATTCAGCGTGATGGTTTCCAGGGGGACCAGATGGAGGTTGACCTGACAGGGTATATTGCTAAAAATAAAAAAATCTCTACCCCTAATGTGAGTCAATTGACCCATTGTGATCAACTGAGTTCCATTCAATATTAATCACGATAGTTTCCAAGGGGAACCGCGTGGAAGTCGACCTGATAGGGTATATTGCTAAGAACGGGGGCAATTAGATCCCATTATTAACAATCCCTTTCCGCCACTACATAGTGTTGTCTACCTGTCTTTATTGTTATTTTTGTAATACAACAAGTATTACAATATAGAGAATGAATGAAAGGGTGTTTTACTTTTTCTCTACAATGTCAAAAAATCTCACAAATTAGTATTATACAATAACTGTTTTTTTAACATCTTACCATATTTCTATCGCGAAGCAGCTGTTCATGGCTGGTTTAGTATATGACAGTAAAATTATAGGATGCGGAGATATAAAATGATATCTTTTTCTGTGTATTTTTATCTTTATTTTTACAATGCATGAGCAGAAGCGTACCATGAGCTTCATTATGTATTCTTTGATATTTTTCTACTTGTATCTATAGGCGATTGTACTAGTTTTTCAAGTGGGCTGTAAGATTTTCATTAAAGAAATTATCGATATATTGTAAATCACAAATTAAACTGTAAGTAGTAAGAATAATTGATTTAATTAAAAATAAGCTGATAGCATGATAACGACTTTAATAAAATTAATAGTTATATCTGTATTAATATTTTTTATTTATATAATTTTAAGGTAGGTAGATAAGTTTCTCAGATGAATTATTACATATGAATGAACTTATATATAACGTTCATCACTATTTTTAACTATAAGAAATACATAGAATTAAAAAAAAATTACAAGAAGCATAGATAAAGGATAGTCTCTGTAAACTACAAAATTAGATACAATTTAAGAAAGATGTAAGAAAGTCAGTGACCAATTTTGAGTTTGGATTTGGCAAGTGTCAAGTCAAAGCATAGAGTAATCACTATGTTACTAGTTAGCGTTATTTTTATGTTGATGACATTGGAAAATAAATCTATGCAACCAACAACAAGCGTAAATACAAAAGCTTTACTATAGTAAATGAATATAATATAGTTTTGTACAACTACTTATATTAATTTTTCTGTTTAAAATACTTGTAACGACAGGTATTATAAATGATATATTAATTTAAAGTGTAAAATTATCAAATTTATTTCAAATTGGTTACATAAAGTCTTACAAACCTTTTTTATTAACAGTGACTCAGACCTGGCACACAAAACAAAAAAATATATATATAATACAGGAAGGACGATTCAATCAAAATTGTGAAAGCTTTTTCTCCACAAATTTTGTTTTTATGTGTTATTTATTAAAAAGTAGATCTTAATTTAATGACTTAAGATACAAATAGTTATTGTAAATGTTGTAGAAAGCATTGTGTTAAATTCTTCAAATTATGGAGTATCATTATTCGGAACTATGTATGCCAGCAGAGCATCTTTTACCTGGTAAAATAATTCTTTATTTATTAATTTTTTACACATTATTATGCTAAAATTTTCTAGTAAATTACATATTTTCCTTAACAGCAAAATTAATAATTATCCCATATAATTGCAAACCTATTTACTAGGAAAACAATTGTTTCGACTTTCCTGTGTATAATATACTTAATAAAACAAAATAATATGCATGCATGCGTGCATATAAGACTCTACTTTTTGACTAATAATTGTAAATCTAAGTTAAACTTCGATACTTTTAATAAAGCATGATTTGCATTTACTAAATTAAAATTGAAAACAATAAGTTAAAATTTGCATTTTATTATAATTTGCCAACACTTTTAGCTCACATGCATATGTGGTCTTTACTTGTAGAATTAATGCATATTTTTCATCTCTATCCAAAAGTTGTTTAGGAAAGATTGCTTTAGTGATATGACCATCTTTTGTACTTAATTACTGTAATATATATTTTTTGTTTTATTTCTGGTATAATTAAATATGCATTAAAATTGTTTATATGTCTGACTTTATCACATCTACACTATTATAATTTCTGGTTGGAAAGCTGTTGGTTATTCTAATAAATAAATTTTAGATCATCATTTCAGCCATTAACTGTCTACTGCTAGACATAAGTCTTCTACATAAGGGGAGTTTTGCCAAGCTTGGCAGGCGGGTTGGCAATTACAGTTAGGCCTTTAGAAATGTTTTAAGAGAGATACTGCTGCCCATCCCTTTACCATTAAGTTCTCTTAGTTGCCGCTTACAACACCCATAGGAAAGGAAGAGGTGGCCTATTTTATGCGGGGATCATACGGTTAATTGTTAATTAATTTTATATATTGTTTGATATTTCCATCATGTCTATTTGTAGTTTAATCATGGTATAAACACACTTTTGTTTTTGTGTCAAGTATGCATACAGTACATTTTATGGTGAATTGTTACTGTAGTCTATAGATGTCTTCAATAGCTAATGTGCCAAGTGTGTGCTACCTACTTTGCAAAAACCTTAAAGTAACTGGATATTAAATTATTTTCAGATCCATATGCTGCTGAGTTTTCGCCGCAATACTTGCTGCCTACACAAGAAGCTGAGTATGAAGTCCGTAGTAGTGTACTGGTGGATGGTGGGGACAGATTTGGAGTGTCTGCTGTAGTTTTTGACAAATTTGAAGAGTTGATATGGATGGGAAATCAGGGTGTAAGAATTTCTCTTTTATAAAAATTAAATAATAATTTCTATTTAGATATAAGAGATCAGAAGAGAATGGCATTTTTTGCTTTGTTTTCTTAGCTTAATGCTAATTGAACATAATCATCATTTGTCGATAAAAATAAAATTTTATTAAGAGACTTGTATATGTCACTCTGGCTTGAAAATTATAACTACATATAATAAATAGGTATAATAGATTTATAGTTTTTATAGGGTCATGTAACGTCATACTATGGCTCAAATATGCAAAAGTACACATCTTTTCAAATACATGAGTCAGAGGAAGTGAGAGATATTATAACTGTTGAGCAAGGAATTTATGCTCTGACAAAAACCACACTTCGACATCAAATACGTAGAGGCATCCCAAAGCACACTTTTAGGTAATTTGCATGATTCTTTTAATCACACTATATTTTTTTGTATGACAAACTTTGTATTCAAATTTATAAAAATTTGAATACAAAATTTGTCAAACATGTCGTAAATTTGTCATTATTAAATAAAAATAATTGATAAACAATTTATCTGTCTAAATGGTTTTGTCTATTATAGGGAGTGAAGTTTTGTTCAGGTTGTAGTTGTACCAAGTCATAAAAGTTAATTCTTACACAAATTCTTTGCTTTCTCCACTTTCATAATTTGTTCTATGCTTGTCTTGGGAAGTTAAGGGAAGATTGTTATAATGTACATAATCATGTCCAGGCTTCCAATTTGTTTAGATTTGTAATTTTATATTGCAATTTTCAGATCAAATAATATGGTAGACATGCAGTGCCTGTTTCAAGTCAGTCCTACTAAGCTCTTAATGGGTGGACATCAAAACAAATTGCTTGATTTAGATCTTAATAAAATGGCAGAGAATATTATTGTAAGTTGATTGAATTATCAAAAAATTATAATAATATACTGTTGGTTGTTTCTGCATTTGCAGGTAAGATAATTGACAATACCATGGATACATGCACATATTTTTAATGTAGGTGTTAAAAGTCATATTGTGACACAAACATCTTTAAGATTTTTTTTTTGAGTGTTCATTACATTTAGGTGATTAGGGATTATGCAATGTTTTAATTTCCACAGCCCATTCAAGAAGAAGGCTGCGCTGTACTCCGTAGTGGGGGAGGATCGTTAGTTGCATGCGGCAGCGCCAATGGTATGGTCGCTCTGCGTGACATTCGGACACCTGGTGCTGCTGAGCATATCTTCAGGGCCCACACTGCTTGCCTATCGGATCTGGACATGCAAGGCGACTTACTTATAACGTGCGGTTTCACACAATCGTAAGTATTAACATAAATAATTTTATCATTTCTAAATGAAAGCTTGATTATCTTTTTGAAACAAGTTTCATGCAATCATGTATTATTTCACATTTATATATGTATATACCGTATATATATATATACCGTATATATATATATATGGTTAAAACATAAAACTTGATGAAATTTATGTCGTAAAACTAGTTTTAGTCACTAATTACATTATAGTCTTTTATTTTGTTCTAATTTAAGTTAATGTAGGGTAATCATACAATTTATTATTTTTTTTTTGTATAACACATATGGACGCCTCAACACTAGAGGTGTCATATTATTATTTCAGCCATTAGCCATCCACTGCTGGACAGAAGCCTTCCATATAGACTGCCATAAAGAACGGTCCTGAGTCACCATATGACAAATGGTGGACAAGATGGTGGGAAATGATAAAAGACAATAATGAGAAGAGGTGTCTGTGGGCATTTCAAACAAAATCTTCAGAACACAACCCGTTATACTAGTGGTAGAACGCACAAATAAACGAAATGCCTGTTTGGCAAAGTTCAGGCTAGTTTATAAGCAAATTCCTTGTAGCAATATGAACGTTGCCGATACATTGTTTTTATTCTAGAGTCGGTGGTGTGGCAGTAGCTGAATCGTACATAATAGTATGGGACGTCCGCTGTCTCCGTGGCAGCAACACTGGCACAGAGTCCGCATGGTCTATTCAGACAGCGTCTCCACCGTTCTTGCTCCATTTCCTGCCGGCTTTCTCTGGGAGGGCAGTTGCTTTGTCTAGTGACGGTCACGTGGCATTGCTGCACGTGAATGCGCCTGACGAGGCACAATCTGTATTTCAAGTAAGTTCTAACTGTAGTTATTATAATGGAATCTAATGAAAATGTAAATCAAAACCATAATAGTCTGCTGATGTCCAATAGTAGAAACAAAAAAAAAAAAAATTAATATACTGTTACTAATTGTATTTAGAGAGTATTTTTGTATTGATTGAATTTCGACATAAAATAAATATATTAATTTATTGACCTTATTTCCAAAAATACCTATATATGATACAAAAAGCAGGCTGAATTAAATAGCATTATTTCTTACTTTACACATTATCAAAATATATCTACTGTTTCGTTAACAAACCGCAATGGTGTCTTCGCTTTCGATTTTTATTTTATCCTCCACACATTCTTCTATTACATGTAATTGGTAATACTATTTTTTAAACCGACTTCAAAAAGAATTAGGTTCTTAAAATGGTGTATTTATTTTATGTGTTTTATCTCATAACTCCGTCAATTGTAAACAGATTTAGAAAATTCCTTTTTTATTTCATAAGAACACTTATACATTGGATTATTACATTATATTGAACACTTATACGATGAGTGCCGGAATAGACTTGTGTCTGAAATCGAAACTTCACTCCAAAAAATCTTGTCCAATTTAACCCCAAAAAGACACAAGTCTGCGCGTTCCCGCAAAAAAGACGCCGTTTGTCGTATCTCCTCACTTTCAGGGCACTTCGGTTCAGTAGTTTAGATTTTAAATCAAAAGATTTTGTTTTGCCACTATTGAAGTTGGATTGTTTTTTTGTGGAACCCAATATTAATTATTTTCATTCTGTCATGTATTTTTATTAAGTAAGTGACATTCGATTGTACCTCGGAAGGACAAGATGCGTCGAAGTTTCACGTAATTGCAAGATCTTTGACAGTACGGTACATATATAGCAAAGTTTTATTTTTGTTTTATTTCAGGTGGAAACTCAAAATTCCTTATGCAGTGTGATGGATGTGTCATCAACTAGCCAAGCCTTAGTCTTTGGCGACCAATCAGGACATATACATTTGTTCTCGCCACAACACAACCATGAGCCTGTCTTTAATAATTTTTCCAGGTTAGTTTTGAATATAATACTTTTTTATAATAATATAATATTTTTTTATAATATTTCAGTATGTATGTATATCAATTATTACTTGTACTTGTTGACTGGGAAAGAATGCTTGAAGTCCGCCTTGTACACATACATATACTAATGAATGAATACGTAAATACTTAGAGTAGTAAGCATGCTGATGGCCCATCTCAGATAAGTGGTAACCGTTGCCTATAGGCACGAATATTACTAAGGCCATGAGTTATTATATTTTCATTCTCATGCAATTGCATTTTTAACTGATTTCAAACAAGGAGGAGATTCTTGATTTGGTTGTATTTTTTTTGTTATCTCATAATTCCATCAGTTATACTGATTTGGAGATTTTTTTACTTTCTTATTGGTGTCGTAGAAATTTTATAAGAAAATATTCAATAGTTTAAGTTTTTAAATCAAAATAACTAGTTTTTTTCCAAAATTGAAATCTGTTTTTTTTTAGAATACATCTTAAATTACTTTTTAAGTTATATTATTAATATTTTATACTAACATTTATATTTCTTTTCATTTGCAGAGAAACAGAATTTGCGGACCAAGTAGCCGGTTTGCCGTACGTTGGTTTCAGCGATACTACATTCCAGTTCTCATCAGTGCCTTTGCCTCCGTTGACGACTGGCGACAAGTGGTTTAATGTGCTGCCAGAGGAGTTCTTCAAGAAAGTTTATCGGTAATTATTGGCATGTTTAAGATTATTTATCTGGTGGGGTTTGGTCTCTTTAAAAAGGCGCATAATGTACTCTAAGGCCTCTAAGGCTTGTTGCCTAAAGTTCGATTTTTATTCTGCGATGGGCATCGGACAATTCCAAGGTGGGCACGGCCCACCCGGCCCCCTTCTAATTACGCTTATGTCGGTAATATTAATAACTTTTCAACTTTCTTTTTATATCTGTGTATGTTGAAGAAGCAACTACGGGAACGATTTACAATAGACTAGTACAAAAGTTGGCAAATTCAAATGGCTGCACCAAGTTTCTTAGCAAACATAATAAAAACAGTGTTTTTTTTTTTATGGATGGTAATGAAATGGTAACCCCGCCTACACTATTGACATATGCTGTTGGGGCAGTGGGAGATGATAGGTGAAGATGAAAAGAGATTGGCGACATAGTGGCGAATCTATAAAGAATTAACTAAGATGGTTTCCAGGAGGAACCGCTTGGAACTCGACCTGACAGACTATTGACAGAGACCCCAAAAATTATGGAAGACATGGATTATTAGTAATAGGGTCTAGTAATCTCACTGCTAGAAATATATCTTATTAGGTCAACCTCCATGTGGTTCTCCTTGGAAACCATCGTGGTTAATTGTTGTTAAATTCATTGGGCCAATTCATTGGTGCCCCACCAGGGTTTACCGATAGCACAGACGGGAATACCATTCCATTTTCACCCATTAAAAAAAAATACATGTTCAATACTCAATATATATCATAGTTGTTTCTAAAACCTGCACAATTTGAAATTACAATTGGTTACAGTCTGTAATATCATCATCAACATATCAGTCGCTAATTGTCCATAGGCCTCCCCCATTAGGAGGGTTTGCAAGTAGTTGCCACACATGGCAGGCGATTACACTCTGTATAGCGTTCATTATATAGAAATGGATATTTTCTTTTAGGAAAACAAAGCCGATAGATCCAGAAGTACTGAAAACAATGAAAATGCAAGGCCCTATCGGGTACGCACCAAACCCTGGAACGTTTAAAAGAAATCAGGTAGTAAGAATTTAACTATGACGAATATGTTTCTAATATATACATTTGACGGGTCTATTTATTTATAGGTACCATACATTGAAGATACGCTAGAGGATTTGAACACAGCTAAACAGCAAGTTGACAACAAGCTCACAAATCAACCGGTGCCCAAACACTACCAAAAGGTAATAATACAGTATGTTAGGGATACTTTGTACAAAAGTCGATTGCTTGGGTACCTCTGTCCCATTCGTGTTTCAACCGTGAAGCAGTTGTGTTTGCATGGCTGTTTTCGGTTTGAAGGGTGGGATATGGCGTGAATTTACTGGGAACAAAGGAATGACATTTGAGTCCTCAGGAATGCCAACACATGGGGGGTATCATAGGCGAAACAGTATACTCTGTTATGTCCATGGTACTGCTCATGTCTATAGGCGACGGTTACCACTTTCATTCTAAGTTGTATAAAAAAAATGTTAATTAACATAATTTAATTCTTTAAAAGTAGTATCAATATTCTTCAATATGGTTCCAAAAAAGAATATTATGTTTTCAAAAAGTTAAAAGTAAATTAAAATTTCCAAAACAACTATTATAAATTAATAAGATAATAAATTAACAAACTTACTTTCACATTTGTAAAATTACTAAGTATGTTACATTTGAAATACATTTCTAGATGGACTTACGGTACAACAAGCACGGGTCAAACGAAGATTTGGAGGAGTACAATAAAACTGGATTCCCCAGCCTGGAGTCCACGATACCCAATTCCTATTGTAATTCTATGCTCCAGGTAAAAATTTACTACGCATGTGTATTAATATGAATTATTCGTATTATATACTGGACGATTTAGTATTGTATTGGGCACCTCTGTCCCATTCGTATTTCTACTGTGAACCAGTTGTGTTTGCATGGCTGTTTCGGTTTGAAGGGTGGAATATGGTAGGGAATTTACAGGGTACAGAGGGATAACACCTGAGTCCTCAGGAATGACAACGCATAGGAGGTATCATGGGCGAAACAGTTATGTCCATGGTATTGCTCATGTCTATAGGCGATAGTTACCACTTTCCATTAGGTAGGCTGTCAGCTTGTTTGTCATTCTAAGTTGCATAAAAAAGAAATTTAATTTTCCTCAATTGGCTTCTTTCAAGGTAGATGTGACTGTGTTTCTTATTGCAGGTACTATATTACATGCCACCTGTAAAAGCCGCGTTACTTGCACACACGTGTGGTAAAGAGTTCTGTTTAAGCTGTCAGTTGGGTGAGTTTCATCGTTATAGGTTCAACTTTTCTTAAGAGTAAAGTTTGTCTATGCATTTTTACGAAGACGCAAGACTGATTGTAGATACCTCTGATTACTATTTTTGACAACTACCTTGTTAGTGCAGCGGTTTATCAAATTGCTTCACTTTTCGACGATTGCCGATTCGTTTCTCTTGTATTTATATATATGTCTGTTTGTATTAGTCTAGGTATATTCGATTTATAACGGGTATTAATTTAATTTTTTATACCACCAAGGTGGCAAACAATCATACAGCCCGTCTGATGGTAAACGGTCATTGTAGTCTATGGACGCCTGCAACACTAGACGTGTCACCTGCGCGTTGCTGACCCTATAAAATAAACCTATTTATATCTCCATCCATAATGAAAGCTCTCTATTGTTGAGGCTAGATAGCGCTGCATAATATTTCACATGGTATTTATAAATAATAATCATTTATTATCTAATTGTATTATTATTTACAGGTTTTCTGTTCAGGATGTTGGATAATTCAGGTGGTGTTCCGTGCCAAGCGACCAATTTTCTTCGTGCATTCCGCACAATACCAGAAGCGGCTGCTCTCGGATTGATATTACCTGACCGCGGCTCAGATTCAAGAGTGGATTTAGTGGCACTAATACAGGTTAATCTTACCAGATAACTTATTAACACTCGATAAATATCGATAACATACGATAAAGTATATAGATTAGGAATGAAAAGAGAGAAAATATAATAATGTATATGTTAGAGCGAGATAGACAATTAGGACTCTCAATGCTGTGCCTAAATACAATATAAATTAGAAATAAGAAATGCAAAGTTGCTTTAAAACATTTAACTCTTTAAAGGCAATGTTACAGAATAATCAGAAATATTTCGTTTATTGATAGAAAAAACATGTCTAATTATTGTTGATATTACAATAAGTTCGCGCTAGACCGCCAAGAAGTAATTATATTGAAATTTTTACAGAGCTGGAATCGTTTTATACTTCACCAAATACACTACGAATTGCTGGAGGTACGCAAAAAAGAGAAAGCACTATTAGCGCAAAATGCGAACAGTCCACCGAAGGCGCGACTCAGCAATGCGACCAAAATGAGGCCACAGAATATCAACGGACAGTACGACGAGTATCAGTATACCGAGCTGGAGTTTCTTGGCCCTTCCACGGAGTTCGAACAAGATGGTGAGAGGGAGGAAGCCTGGCAAGGACTTGGCAGAGATGACGGTTTGTGTGCATTTATTTTATATATATAGTTATAATATATTGGCCTAATAACAGATATATGTATATTAAATATTAGGCATTCAACAATCTAACAGTATATGTATGGACTATATTAAAATGGGTTCTAACCTTTGCTATATCAATGTCCAGAGGTACTCTCGTAGTAAGGAATACTACTTGGTTTACTTTTAAGTAGGTAGCTAACATAACAAAAGCTCTGCCAAGATTTACAGAAGCTTCCTGGTAATAGTAGAGACATTATAAAGTATTATAAACTTATTATATATAACAATATAAAGTCTAAATAACTTCTATTTATAATCGATTTAAAAAAAGTGGCTGTATTTTTCATGTATATGTTACGCGATATTTTACCGAATTCAGAATTAATTGCGATAATTCTTAATAATTTATATTTTAACAATCCATAGTTCTCATATGATGATGATAATCTAATAATGAGGAGGTCTAAGTAATAATTATTTTTATTATTTATAACGATATTGCATTTTTAATTTTGCATGCAGTCGTTTTTGGGCCAACTGTATTTACAGGTATGCAAGATCTGAATTGTTTTAAATGTCTGATAATGCAGTGAAACTCCTTTAGGGTCGGTATGTAATTCTCCAGATGTGTAAATAAAAATATTGAGATAGAATTAATTTGACAATGCATCGTAGTGGGATGGAAGTCTGGAAGTAGGAAGTAACTATGAAGAAGTTGTCCAGAAGAACGTATGTAATTTATCATAAAGAAGTGTCAATTCTATCTATCGCTCCCAAGATGCATATAACTTTATTTTTTATTACCAAATTACAAATAGTGTCCTTTATTAGGTGCAAGTGAGGAACAAGTGCACAACAACGAAAACCACGAGTTATCTAACAATCAACAGTCAGAACGGGAGGAATCTGAAATATCTCAACTATTCGCCATAGGACGACACCAACTGAACAGATGTCTCAAGTGTAACAAAGAGGTAAGATAGCGTTGTCGTGACTTTACAAAACTAAAGATGTAATATGCATTATGAAGACATGTTGTACAAAAAAAAACTGACTTCAATTGTAGCAAAACTAGTTGTTTCATTTTAAAAACCAAACCATTGCATTGATTTTGGTGAAATTTCTATGGGATCAATCTGTAACTATATACTTTCAGATAAAAAAATTTATGAGGTAACAAACACATTAAAAAAAAAACATCCAAATTGAGAATCCCCTTTTTGAAGTCGGTTTAAAATATACAGAAAATACTTGACAGAATTTTATTAATGGAAAATTCTATTTAGAGCATTCATAATGAAGTAAAGCAACGTAGTAATTATCTGACAATTTAAAAAAAAAAGTAAATTTAATATTTTATGTATCTGCTTGATTATTTAAAAAGTTCTCTGATAGCTAACTAAAACGTTAATCATGTGATAATATAATTATTAAGTTTTCGCTTAAAACTTGGATTTTGATGCCATAAAAGTACTCAAAAAGTCTATGTTCGACAATGAGCAGTTAACAGCTAATATGAATGAATGTATAACTAATCATATGCTCGCTATTAGAGCGCTTTTTTAAATAATTAATCAGAAACATTGAAAATTCTGAAGTTGTTTTTGAGAATTTACAGATATTTGCGACGTAAGCTAAAGTTATGAAAATTTATGTAATTTTTTTAAAATAAACTACAGTCTAATATGGGCTGACTCGCTGATAATGTTCCTTTCTATAGTCGAAAGAATACAAATAAAGCAGGATAAAGGGAATTCATTAAACCCCTGTCGTCCAGTTATAAATTAGGTGTACTAGCTATATTTCATCTCTTTACCCGCGTAAATCAATATATAAAGTATCTTATATCCTAAGTCAAGATATAATCTGTCCATGTAGCAAATTTCATTCAAATCAATTCAGTAGTTTTGCGTGATAGAGTAATCATCATCATCATATCCTTTGATTGCCCTTACCAGTAATTGCCACGATTGGCAAGCGGATTGGCAACCACTTAGCTTTAGAGATGTTTTAAGATGGACGTTGCTGCCCATCCCTCGCCCTCCCTTAGGCGCCCCTTACAACACCCACAGGAAAGGAAGGAGTGGCCTATTCTATGCCGGGACCACACGGCCAAAACATCCCTATATACACACATCGTCATTATCTCTATAATTGCTGTACGATTCTATTGAAAAATGTCTATTTGAAGGAAGAACGCGAGTCGGTGGTGTTAGCGTGCGCGCTCCAGTACCCAACTGTGGCTGGACGCGACGGCGCTGGCAGTAGTGGTGAGGTCCGCGGTGGGTTCGTGGAGCTGGTGCGAGCGTCGCTAGCCGCCCGCCGAAGCACGCCTGCCTGGTGTGAGCAGTGTGGTCGCTTCACCCCCACCACCCTACGCGGGCGAATCGTCAGGTAGGTGGCACTGATGGTGGTAATGATAGTTCGTGGAGTGCAATTATCGTTGGCCAAACGGCTGTACCTTTCTCGCCTAGTACGAGCATTGCTGTCGCTTCACGTTTACAACCCTGCACGGTGACCTCGTTAGGTAGGTGATGGTGGTGGTCACAGTTCGTGAAGATGCGCGTATGGCTGGGCGTTTCCTGTTGCATTCTTTTCTTGCAAGTTCTCCTCTCCCGATGCAAGTACAGCGATTGCTTCAATTGGCTGCATAGACTTTTTAGTAGGTAAATAAAATGCTAACCCCCGCTTGCGCTATTTTAGCTACATATAAACAATTTTTTATTTTAGATGAAACTATTTTATATTAGTAGTGTATTGGTATTAATTTTTTAATATTCTTTTGAAAGATTTAATTCAAGAAACAATACAATAAACATATATTTTAATTATGCAAATAGAGCGCACGTTCTATTGTTTTTCTTTTCCTACATTTAGTATCTTGATATTAAAATTATTAAGGTGAGACCTCTATGTATTTTACAGACTACCGCCGATTTTAGCTATAAATTGTGGAGGAGTAACAGCACATGAAAAAGCATATTGGTCAAAAGGAACTCAAAAAGATACGGTAACTATATTTGATACTCATCATACAGAGTTTTTTTAGATGTTTTTACTTTGTAAAAGCATGTATTCGTATACTTACTTTGAAATTTATAATAAGGTAATATAAATTTAATTTTAAATCCAATTATATATCGTATGCTTGTTTGCCACCTCAGTGGCAATAAAAAAGTCTAATTTGGTTTAATAAGGTATTTTATTCTTTTATTTGCTCTCACCATAACAATTTTGTATATTGACAGCCGGAAGTGGTTAAGCGAGGCGGTAGCGGTAAACCATGTCGCTATGGCTTACACTGTGCGCGACCAGGCTGTAGATTCAAGCATCCTGATAGGTTAGTATTAGATAAAAAAATAGTTGAATTAACGGTATACCATCTGAGGTGATTCACTTGAGGCGTAGTACACATGGCAAAACCCCATATGGGAGACTTCGTTCAGCAATGGACAGTTAAGGGCTGATACAAAATAGTACACACAGCGAATAAAAGCAAGCGGTATCAAACTGCCAGAATGTAGTATGGTTCTTGAGTTAGTGAATTTAAAATCAGTTCCTAAAGGTGAAATGGAAATCGTTAGAATCCTTTTAAGGGATTATTTATAATAGAATAGACAATTTATTGCCAGAAAATACATTAGTGTTTTATATAAGAAGCATATCATATTACGTAAAAGAAACTTGCTCAGCTGACTTTTTCTACCAGCGAAATTGAAACCAAAGAAATATGGATCGAAATTTGACAGAAAATGTTGTTCCTCCTATACTAACGCGGCGTCTCCAGCTATTATTTAAATTAGCATGACATGTTAAAATTTATTGGTCGTTTCTGCATGTTTGTATTACGAAATTTCTGTCCCAATCATATTCTATAGCATGTGTAGGTTCTAAATTTTACGAATGGCTAACGATTTAATTTCATCCTATAGTTATTAACAGTCACGTTAAATCCCTTGCGGAGTAATCTGACATAGATAAGTGAAATATTAATAAAAAAATAAATGTTTTAGACCGCCATCAAGCCAGGCGACTTCATCCAAGAGCCCTCAGGAATCGCACTGTATATTGCCTCAACATTTGCTAATTAGATTGCAGTCTGATGGTGACGTTATTATCAATGATAAGGTATATAATATTTTATTTTTCTATTTCTAGAAGTAATGACTATATATTTTATTATTTTTAATTAACTGCTATATTGGAACAATAGTTTTTGCTAGATAATTCGATGAGGTCTAAATAGGGCCACAAATTATTGCTTTACAAAAATGCAAGCACAATGCACTTTTATTCCAGGCACCTTTGTTGTTCTAATGATGGTGATGAAGGGAGGGAAGGAAGGGATTGTTAGTATGGCGTCTAACAGACTCTCTACTGATAGTTTTTTTTTTTGATGGCTGAAAATGGTATGGTAGCCCCGGTATGGTATTTATTGTATCACAATTTTTAAGTTAACTCCCTTTGGATCTATGTGTGCGATATGTGCATGGTATTTGTTTTTAGTATATGTATGGTATTTAATTCCACAGGTTGACCAATCGCCCGCAGAACCTCACACGCCCATCAACAGACCGGACAAACATAAAAAGAAGCAAGTGACCACGCAGTCAGAAGAGGAGTACACCTTGTCCGCGGCCGTAGTTTGCGTCGAAGACAACCCTAAAAACTTGGTCGCGTATATACAAACAGGGAAGGATGTAGAGCCGCAGTGGCATATGTTCAACGATTTGAGGTAATGTTGATATTTTATTTAAATAGTGACATAAACTGGTCATGCTCGCTGTGATTTTCATCGTGCGATTTTCATATTTTTCATTGTACTCGTAGATTGTATTGAAGTGTTAGGTATATATGTTGACTAGGTACAAAGTTATCACTATATAATTTTTTTATCAAAATCCTATACAAGCAACTATTGTATCGGTATAGTTATAGCATTTAATTTTATCACACTATAAATTTTAATATTATAAGGAGTTGGTAAATGCAGAACGTTCTCAATTTATCAGAGGGGGACTGTACAAAAGCTATTTGCTTGAGTATCTCTGTCTCATTCATATTATAACCATGAAGCAGTTGTATTTGCATGGCTGTGTTTCGGTTTGAAGGGTGGGATATGGCAGTAAATTTACAGGGTACAGAGGCATAACATTTTAGTCCACAGAAATGGCAACACATGAATCATAACATGGATATATATCGTGGGCGAAACAGTATACCCTGTTATATCCATAGTACTGTTCATGTTTATAGGTGACGGTTACAATTTTCCTTCAAGTGGGTTGTATAAAAAAAAATACATATATTTTTCTTCTCTCTCACTCTCATGCCGCTGATGGTATTATTGCAGTGTAATTATTGGAACAGTGGTCCGGCGTCTTGGGTGTCCAAAATGGTTAGATGACAGTTTGGGACGCGTTACGCTCTAGATGGTATCTGTTGGACGACTGGTATGAAGGAATTATTTAGACTATTGTCGTATTATTGTCGTAATATTACGTTGTATTGTGGTATTATTGTAATGATTATGTGGCATTATAATTATGATTACGTGATGATCGACTGATTATTGTTGACTGGAAGAAATCCCTTTAAGATATAAGTCCGCCTGTGTACATTTTGTTATTAGCTAATATCTATATTAAAAGTGAACGTTGAAAAGTATCTAAATAAATAAATAGTATTATCACAATGGTTATGTCTTCAGCATAGTGCCAGTGAGCTCTGATGAGGTCCTACAGTTCAGCGCGTGGTGGAAGAGTCCCTGTGTGTTGTTCTACACGACAGCGAGCGTTATGCACGTCCCAACCGAGCCGAGCTCATAGCCGATAGCGTATGGACCTTATAGTGATGGGTGAGTGGGAAATTATATACTTATTTAGTAGTAATTTTAGCGATTACTAGTAATTGTAACGATTTGGCTTAGGATACCATTTTTTTAACATTTTATCTTTCTTTAAAAAAAAAATTAATACAAACCAATAGGTGATTACTCTTGAAATAAATTTTTATAGATTGATTTTGGAATTGGAGACTTTTCGTACTCTCGAATTGCAATACTAGCGATTCCTATTATTCTGTTTTTTTTTTTTTTAATGGATGATAATGGAATGGTAGCCCCACCCGCGCTATTGGTATACACCGGCGAGGCACCAGTGAAGGATGATAGGTGAAGATGAAGTAGGTTAGTTACCTCATTGTGACGAATTCAACAAGAATTGTTCACGATGGTTTCCAGAGAGAACCACGTGGAGGTCGACCTAATAAGGCATATTGCTAGCAATGGGGCTGTCAAACTCCATTGCTAACATTCCCTTCCCCCTTCCCCCCCTATTGTTCTGTTAGATGCATATTAATGTACAGTGTGTAGATGCAATTCTAATTCTTAATTTTTTAATGAGTGCAATACAAAATTGTCATTGACAATAAATTGGTTTGATACTGACATTAAATTCAAGAATAGAGCTGCTGTTCTCTTTTCTGACAATGTATGTGAATATGTATTATCTACTATTGTTGATGTATTTTAAAACATTAAAAGTATTGAGGCTATTATTAATAATTTCTGCTAAAAGCACCTTTTCAACCTTATTTTGTTTAATAATCATATATATACTTTGTTTACAGAATGACTATGGGCCCATACGAATTAACAGGAATTTATTACTCGATTTCAACCGAGGATCACTACGAATATATTAATTAAATACAATAGTTCTATCTCAGAACTCTAGAAATTTGAATGAACTCAACACCACTTGAGATGTACTGAACAAACATATTTTAATTGTGATAAATAAGTAAGAATCGTGTGTAATGTAAAGCAAAGTTTACGGCAAAGTGAAATAATAGTTATAATGTATTTTTGCTGACATATACCCCTATACTTAAAATTACTTAAAAACTAATTAAGCAATAAATTAACGGGGTCTTTTATTTTCAGAATACATACGAGTAGATAGGTAAACGAAGTTTGAAACATAGTACGAACGGAACATACTGATGGTTTCCAAATGTTACTATAAATAATAGTAAGTGAATAAAAGTGAATTACTATTGTATTTTATTTTAAGAGAATTTTGCTAATATTTTAACGATTTGTTATTATTTGAAGTCGTGTTGAAATAAGTCTGGTCTAGATTAAAAATACGCTTAACACTAAATGCGACTTCGTATATTATTAGAGTTATATTTAAAAAGAAAACATTATAAAACTACTCTTTCATTTTGTTTTACAATTAAATGCTAAGTGTAAAAAGTACTCTGCATCCAACTACGTGATTTAATAACACTATTATCATTATCATATCGGCCGTTAACTATCCACTGCATCTGTATACTGTACTGCATCTGTTATAACTGTCCAATATAGGCTTATAGGCCTAATAGGGGACTATTAGGAGATTTCGCCAGTAGTTGCCACCCTTGGCAGGCGGATTGGCACCGCAATTAGGCTTTGGTGATGTTTTTAAAGGGACGCTGCTGCTCAAGGAAGGGGATTACGCTACATATATTATATTTATATATATACATTAATGTATTTCTATAAAATTAAAAAAATAATTAAAGCGTGCATTAGACATAAGCAGATTTTCGTATTCAACATATCAAAATCATTTATAAATTATATATATATATATATATATATATATATATATATATATATATATATATATATATATATATATATATATATATATATATATATATATATATATATATATATATATATAAGTTATAAACCAGTAATAAAAAAAAAATATGTGCATTGTATTCGATCATCATCTTTTTGAGTAAGCGTCCACGTATGTTCCATATAAAGCCATACTTCAGTGGTATTTTTGGATACGTCATTCGCTTTCTAGTATCTTTTGTCCAATATGTATATATTTTATGAATATGTTATTCAATATACTCGCTAATTCTTATCTGGTTATTACTTTTATTTGCAATTAATAGGGTTTATTCCCATAGATTTTGTTGTATGGTCTTGATATATAATTGGCCACCCCTCTTCCTTTTCTGTAAGTATCGTCCCTCTTAAAACATTTCCAAGCGTGGCAACTACTAGAGAAACCCCTCAATAGTCACTCTATTGTGGGGTTTAGCAGTGGACAATAATCGGCATATATGTTAATAAGGCTTACTCTGATATTATTATATGTCACTATTAAACTAGTTGTTTATTGCTAAGCAAATCAATTTCCTATTGTTTCGATATTATAAAAGAGTAGGATGCAAGGTATTTATTACACTTTGTAAATGGAGTGTACCAAAAATTCGCAATATACGCTTCGCTCGATTCAACAGGCCAATTAATGTTTGTGTGAGTTGTGATACGTCCATATCGTGTGATTTTTTAAACGTGAATGTACTTATTGGCTATTTTATTTATTAAATTTGTATACACTACCGCCCAAAAGTATTTGGCCACCTAGTAAAATACATTTTGTAAAAGTCTGTTTGAATAAAACTATTTCATAATAATTTTAACATTTTTATTATTAGCTATTTTTAGACATAACAAGAATATAATTTTAAAATTTTGGACTCGTCTATGTGTCCATCTTTATTTTTAATAGACACTCTCACAAAGCATCAGCAACCTAGCTACTAATGTTGTCTTGGTTCTGCCGTTTTTCTTTAAGTTTTTTTTTCCACAAATCTTCCTGAGATGTGGGACAATGTTTTCGCACTGTCTATCCAGCTGATCCCACAATAGTTCTGGGGTTTAAGTCAGGGAAGTCATATCCTGAATTTCAACACTTGTTGTTGTTGAAATATGTGATTACACCCTGTGTGGGTGTAGTCGCATATTTCTGTAAAATAAAGATTCTTTCTTCATCTTTTCCTTTTAAAAAGTCCTTGCGTGGTCTCCACGTGTGTTTTGGTTCATTACCCTGTAGAAATATAAATTCGGCACTAATTAAATGGGTTAAAAGGCACTGCACTACTCTCCAATATCTTTTTGTAATCTTTTTTTTTAAGATTCCTTGTATTCGCATAAGATCCCTAATGGCGGAGCCATCAAAATAGCTCCAAACCATCACAGACCTTCCGCCGTGTTTTAGTAAAGCCACAGTACAAGCGTCATTCACACTTTCGTTTGACTGCCGCTTTACGAAAACGTTTAGTACCAAAAATTTCAAATTTTGATTCATCCATCTAGAGGATCTTTTCCCAATCTACAATTGTTTAATTCTTGTGTTCTCTTGCCTAATTGAGTCTCTTTGTTTAATATGTTTAAAAAATGCTTTTAAGACCGCTATGCATACCTTCAGTCCTACGTCACAATCGTCTTTTAATTGTGGATACACTGACTGGTTTATCACGATCCGCATTAAACTGTGCTGCTATTTCTGGTGCAGTTAATCGTCTATTTCGTATGCTATTAATAATTCTATTCAAATCTTCACTCGAAGTTGTGGCTTTGCCTGAACGTTTGTTGCAAATTGTTCCTTCAGCCGCAAACTTTTTAACGATGTAGTCAACAGTTTGTCTTGGTATCTTCTGTAGTATTGAAATCTCATCAATACTTTTACAGGATTTATGAAGCCCGATTATTATCCCCCCTGATCTCGTGGGAATATTCCTTAGCTTATATTACCAATTTTCTTCAAAGAAACTCAAAAGTAAAAAAAATTTCAAATATTGATAGACTAAGTACTCGGCTATGGAGAGCGTGTTTTCTGGTCAAATGACATGAGATAAATAATGTAAAAATATTTGTAGTAGTCATTCTATATTTTACTTGTATTTATTCTAAATAATTAAAAGCAAAATTGCGACTTCAAAGACTAACTTCGAAGAGATTCCGACAATAACACTATTATGGTTTTATGACCAGGAGTCACCAAATGACAATAAGCTATTCACGATTGTACTGTAGATAAGTATTTTGCGGTATTAGCTTTTATTATTTATATAAATAATAAAAGCTAATAAATGATCTTTTTAAAATGTAGTATTTGTAACTTAAATAAAATGCAGGTGGCCAAATATTTTTGTGCGGTAGTGTATGTCAAACTGAACTGATATAGATGTAGCTGTAATCTGTTAAGGTCAGAAGCAATTTTTTATGGATCATCTGTTTTGTTATAAATTATTCGTTGTATACATTTTGTGAGATTGATTTTTATATAAAGAAGAATACTTAGTAACGTTAATATTTATTGTATTAGCTGTAGCATTCCGTATTTATGGGAAATAATGAAGAAATACACTTTTGCTCTCTGTGATTACAGATCAGTTGCCGACAAATACGTTTCTGTTTATTTACTGTTTGTCAGACATGATTGAAATTTCTTATTCATGTGTTTGTTTTATTTGCATAATATTTAAGCAGGTACAGCGAATAGTTGTTCTATTGTCACAACAATTGATTCTCATTTGTAAATACGGTAAATAATAAATTTAATAATAACAAATTTGTACGAGTAATGGTGGCCGGTTAAATAAAAAGAATTCAAGTGAAATAAGTTTGTTTTATTTTATTGTCTTTTTTTTTAACGAAAAATAACAGCTTATATCATTAATGTTAGAATTTACGTTTTATAAAGCAAAATTTTTTACTTATTATAAAAAAATTAATATAATATATAATTTGTTATTACTGTTTTCTAAATCTGAACACTTGTAGATTATTTAATATTATTGTCCTTTTTTATAGTCAGCTAAAATCCACTAAGTTTCATGCTTACCTTTAATTAAGAACTACGACTACTGTGTGAATATTTACGTAGTCATAGAAAAAAGAATTAGATTTTCTATGATACAATAGAAACAGAAAGTATTCTAACGAAAAAACATTCTTCAAGTACAACAAAGACTTCTAAACTTACATTATCATCGTTCTGTTATATTTAAGCTCATAAATATTGTAAAAATTCATTATTCCTAGTCCTCTAGACAAGTGGCAAGCGAATTCGTCGATGGAATCGACATCGCTAGCTAGTCCGTGAGTTGGAATGAGACATCCGACGTTGCTATCTCATTCTATCTCACGAACTCGCTGGCGATGTCGATTCCATCGATGACTTCGCTTGCCACTTGTCTAGAGGACTAGGAATAATGAATTTTTACAATATTTATGAGCTTAAATATAATAGTATTGGGTAAAAATATTAAATTAAAAAAACATAATATCAACGAGATTAATACCACAAAGAAATTCGAGTGGAACCGAATAACATAGAATTTAAGAATTTTCTTCTTGATCCTCGGTGGGGATTTTCTTTAGTTCATGTATATTTCCACTTGTTTAATCATTGTTAAGTATTTCGCTTCGGTTGCTTTGGTGCCAAATATAGCAATTATGAATTTTAGGGCACAGTAGTAAATCAGTAACTACAAAAGAAAGTAAAGGGCATTCACATATATTCACAATATTGTTGTATACTCAACTTTTATTTAAAAAAAGCAACAGCTGAGTGCTCTTTCTCGGCTAATTTCAGCTGAGAACGGGCAAAAACTCAGCATTGATTTATAGCTAAGGTAAGGTATATTAATTGTCTTTTTAATATACCTTACCTTAGCTATAAATCAAGATATTGTGAAGAAATATTCAAAGCATACGAGTATATTTGTTGTCATATTAATAAGATTTAGATTTGAATTTTTATGTAGCATGCTAACTGCACTTTATTTTATATTAGTGATATATATTATATAACTGTTCTCAGCTTCTTGCCAAATTTAATTTTCGATTGCCCGTACACTATCACCGTAGTTACATCAGTCTAATGTCCGTGCCGTTCCGTAGAACTGTTCTTGGTGCCAACTCCACTATACCACGTCTTTGCAAGCTGTTGAATGATTGCAAGCAACACTTGGATATTCACTTCGATACAGAAGGGGATTTCTATAGGAAAGCATTGCAGTTAATTTAAATAGCTAAAAAACTTATGTGAAGCAATCATCTACTGAATCTAAAAAACTATACCAATGTCAAATACTTCAAGAGATTGTTATACATATATTATTGGTGTGTTTCCTTTAAAATGATTGTACACTAAGTATAAATAGACAGTAATTTTAATATTAAATCTTATCAGTGTAACAATTGCTAGGAGACCAAATAAAGATAAAATAAAATAAAATAAAAATAGAACAAGTGATAAATGAGGGCATTATTTATAATGTCAGGGCATTATGGATAATGACAAGCGACATAGGGACAAGAGATAAATAATTATATCACATTGTTTGGTCATTATGAATATTGTTACGTGATCGCTGCGTAATTTGATAATATATAGGTAGAATAGACACATTGGATGGGATGCGGGAAAATTAATGCGATGCGTGACATGCGCTGACCTGATTTGGTTTGTAAAAGGGACTGTAAATCTAATACATCTTGTTAAAAAGAAAAAAAATTGTTACTCAAAAAGGCCATCAAAACAGTAATTGTGAGGGGAAAGGGATTGTTAGCAATGGAGTTTGATTGCCCTATTACTAGCAATATGGCCTATTAGGTCGACCTCCACGTGGTTCCCCATGGAAACCATCGTGAACAATTCTTGTTGAAATCGTCACGACGGGCTAACTGACCTGCTTCATCTTTACCCTTACTTGTGCCCCGCTGGTGTATACCGATAGCGCAGGTGGGGTTACTATTCCATTATCACCCATTAAAAAAACAGTAATTGTTATATGTAGTAAATATGTTACTACTTATGTTTATTTCCGTTTCACAATCTAAGTATACGTAAAACTCAGATTTAACAAATATATACCTATTTGATTTTATGAAATTTCAGCTGCTATGAACTAGTAAATTCTAAGTGTAGAACCCCTTTCTAATACCTACCAATTATTAGTAAATTTTATGTTACTTGTGCTTTAAATTTCAATTTAATGTCAAAAATATAAATTATGATAATAAAACATTTTTTTTATTATTTTGTAATGTATAGATCTAGATAATTTATTTTCATATTTCCTTCCCTTATGTATAATGCCTAATTAATCACTTGGTCCATAACATATTCATAACTAACTATATTAAAAGCTATATGGAAGAGTGCACATTTCGTATATTATTTTTATGCTAGAATTTAACCTTTTAATTATAAATTGATGAAACTTAGTCTATAGATTCTTAAATAAAGCTTCGACTACACCACATTAGAAATAATGGGCTAAATGACTATTAAGACTTAACTGAATAGTTTGATAAATAATTTAAAATTGTGTTGCACAAAAAAATGGACTTCAATTGTGGCCAAAACAGGTATTTTGATTTAAAAAAAAAAACTACTAAATCGATTTTGGTAACATTTCTATGGGACCAATTTGTAAGTATATCCTTACAGATAAAAAAGAATTTTCAAATCGGTTTATAACTGATGGAGTTATGGGGTAATGAAATATAAAAAAGAGATTTCTTTATAAAATCTATTGAAAAAATATTCAATGAGATGGCAATGATAAAATAACTATTAATTGTGTTGCAATAAGTAATTAATTTGCCCTGATTCATGTTTTTTTTTTTTTTACTACGAAAGTGGCAAATAAGTATACATCCGATCTGATGGTAAACGGTTACTGTAGCCTGTGGACGCCTACAACACTAGGGGTGCCAAGTGCGCGTGGTGTGCGTGCAAGAATAAAAAAAAAAATATCATCGAAAAGTGTCTAAAATGCATTTGTAAAATTTATTTTTTAAATTGCATAAAATTACCGAGTCAGCATGGTAATTTTCGCTGTAATGAACTGCCAGCATTGTATTTGAATCAAAGATCATAATCTCAATCTACTTCACGGGTGTAACAAAAAAGGATAATATTTGAAATGGCGGTACTTTTTCACATAACGCGCGCATTCTACTTTAAATATATATATATATATATATATATATATATATATAGACGTTCATAAAAATAATAGACAAGATCAAAAATTAACATTTTGGATAATATAGTATACAATAAGGTAACATAAACACTCTCTTTTATTAATTTAAAGTCATTTCAGTTTTCATCTCTGGCCATGTCATCTTTCACACAATCCATCCATCCATCTTCGTTTTTGATCTTTCTCTACATTTCCGATCGTCCGAAATTCTACATTTTAATACCTTTTATTTACAAAGTTCTCATTTCATAACAATTTAGATATGTAACAATATACACATATTACAATTCCATAAATATATTTCGCAATGCCTATTATAATGTTGGTCTAAATCACTGCTACATCAGTTAGCTGGTTCCTGTTGCAATGTATTGATTATTTATAAGAGATCTAGAAATTCATTATACAGACGAAATTACCGATACAAACTAACTATAAATAAAATAATTTATATGATGAATATTTATCTTTGTCAGATTTTCGAAACCAAGCAATAGGCGTGATTTAGTTCTATGAGGGAGAAAATAAACAGTTACTATTATTCTTGCTTACCTGTACAGATTCCGCGCACGAATATCTTCAGCCCTTACAATAGACAAATCGAAAAAGAATTTGTGGAATTTCCAGCTTTATATGGTAGACAGAGAGCTGATCTGCTGGCAAATGGCACTGGTAGCCTTGAAAGTAACCTTGAAAATTTGGCGAATCCTTTGTCTTATTAGATCCTTTTTCTTTCATAAGTCGAGAATTAATAATCGACTGTTTATCATTCATTATGAGACTGGGTATATTTTTATGATAGTTTATCGATTGGGAATGTACAGTACTAAAAAAATCAAAATAAAAAGGACGTACTATCTTATTCTTATTATTAAAAATTACATCATAAATAAAAAAATACCTGTCTAAAACTAAAATACCGAAATACGAAAAAGTAAAATCAATAATTATTAAAAAGTAGGTATCACTAAAAAGATTAGGACTTTTATGTTAATACTTACTAAATGTGAAAGTGCGTTTTATGTTTGTTACTTCTTAATGCTTTAACGGATTCACTAATCATTATGAAGTTTGGTATGTACGTAGCTTCTGTATGTAATAGAAAAGGACATATGCTGCTTTTACCCCAGTCATAGTGAAAATATTCCGGTCACGTGAACGAAATCACGGGTTAAAGCTCAGTAAGTTATAAAGAAATTAATTTAAAACACAATATTGAAACAATACCTCTAAATACTAAATATTATGACATTATATGAGAGAGGCCTATGTTCAACAGTGGACAGATAATGGCTGAGATTATGATGACGACGATGACAAAGTATTTAGAGCTTTTCTTTACTTGCACCAGACCATGGTGCCTTATCCCAGACCCTTTTACCTAGTTTTTTTTTTTATGGATGAAAATGTTATAGCAACGCCGCCTGCGCTAACGGGATATGCTGGCGGAGCACCAGTGAAGGATAATAGATGAGAATGAAAACAGGCCAGTTAGCCCATCATGATGAATTGATCAGGAATTAACCATGATAGTTTCCAGGGGGAACCACGAGGAGGTCGACCTGGTTGGGTATATTGCTAACAATGGGATTCTCAGTCTCCATTACTAACAATCCCTTTCCCCCCCTTTTACCTAGTTATCTCTTGATAGATTCTTGGGACTAAAAGAAGTAATGACGAACACATTGTATATTTAACTTCATCATCACTGTAGTCTTATCTCATTCTAATTCTAGTCAATATTGTAAATGAGAAACTGTGTATATTTTTTATGTACATTTTTACACATATTTTTTATAGGTATGTAGAATACTTCTACCGTGTGTGCCCCGGCATAGAATGGGCCACCCCTTCCTTTCCCATAGGTGTTGCAAGAAGGGACTAAGGTTGGGCGAGGGATGGGCAGCAGCGTCCTTCTTAAAACATCTTTAACAGCCTAACTGCGATTGCCAACCTACTTGCCAAGCGTGGCAACTACTGACAAAACTCCCCTTATGGAAAAGGCTTATGTCCAGCAGTGGACAGTTAACGTCTGAAACAAAAAAAAATGTAGAATAACAAACACCGACTATATACCTGATGGAAATTTTGTTCCTCAAATACGTATAAACGTCTAATATGAATAAAATTTTGTATACAAATGGATCATGTCTTACATTAACATATAGAGTACTTTACATACTAAATTCAAAACCAAAACCGCAGGATACAATTAATTGTCAATAAATCTGTAATACTTATAACTTCAATTTACAGCAATTATTTTTTAACGTCTACTTGGAATCGTTTTAAATAAAGAAAAGATTATAAAAGAAACCATATAATTTAAATAAAATTAATAACAAAGCGTAAAGATCGGCTAAAGGTTTTAGCTTTTTTTTCTTAGTAACGACCAAGGTATCAAGCCCACTTTTCCAATTTTCCACGTGTCTGCGCACGACTTGGAACAAAAGGCCGCGCTCAGTATTATATCTTCTGTGTTATCAATCAATATGATTTTGCTGTAAATAATAAAGATAAGTAAATAATAGTGGTAAGTAAAAATATTTTTTTTATCTAACATTATAAGTAAAACAAGCTTTTGCTGCCATGGCAAAACCATTCAAATTTAAAGTCAGTCATACAAGCACGATAATTTTTTTAATAAACACGAAATATTTTTTTATTTTTTACACATGGGTGTTTTCTCTTTTATTTTGACCAAAGAAAATATTGCAATTTAATATTTGTATATATATTATAGAAGCTACAAGATAAAAACTGTACTTTCATTAACTGTAGTGCTTCCATTAGCGTTGGATATTTAGTATGAACCAAGTAAAATATTTATATTTAAAAATACCTCACTGTATCTTGTTAAGAATTTTTGCTACGATGCTTTATCTAATTTAATAATGTAATAAGTAGATTGTATATTTAATATTAAATATCCAGGGCCGGCATTGGTCTACCTGGCAACTTTGGGCAAACCTTGGACCAAAAAATAGGACGCTAGCGCTATATATATATACAGTCTTCCTATTCAGGCAATAAATAAAAGTACCAACCTAGTATCAAAATAGTAACTTATAATAACAAAAATAAAAAAAGTAAGGACATCAAAAAATAAGGTCACTGGGGTTGCTGCGCGACCCGATAAAGATAGTTTCTCTGACCGCAAAAATTCCTGTTAAGTCAAAAGTATCAACATCTAATTTGATGTGACCTTTCAGTGATGCGTGGCTCTTTGCGCACTTCTTGGCACTCGGAGACCCTAAATGCCACCCATCACATCCCACCTTAAAGTTGATAGTGTAAATATCTTATCGTAATATAAATATCAGACGAACTATTGTTATTTTAACAAAATTAAAATATATCAGAACTCAGTAAATACCATGATATCGAATTTGACAAAATATATCAAAAGATTGTGTATCGATCTGAGTTTCCAACTAAATTAGTGGTAATAGTAAATATCACTAAGAACCGCGAACGCTCTTTTACTACGCAGAATTCCAATAAATTAATGTATAGTGAACGAAATATGAGCAAATAGAATGTTTTACTCGCCACAAAGGTCACAGTATAGCATATATCTTATGCTACTATAATTGAGATTATAGTTAGAAGTAAACTTATTTTATTCTTACAATACAATAATAAAAAAAGAGATTAATATTTTCTCAAATAGTACTTTAATGGGATAGCTAGAGATATTAGTTTACTGTTACTGTTATATAAATGTAACGTTTGAAGTGTCCATATTTTGTTAAGCATATTAGAATCGTGGCATTGTTACTCGGTGACGGCGATTGGTTTATTAATTTATTTTGTTATCAGTATTATCACCGGAGAGCTAGTCGGAAATATAAATTGACATACAAACATACTTTTGTTTCGGTCAGAAATGAACTCACGAAGTTTGTGACTTGTTACTCGAGGTAACATAGTACTGAACCAGGACACTCTAATGATTATTTAGAGTACCGATATAGATTTTAAGTTATAGCTTATGATCCTGCTGCTGATATTTTCAGGTATAATTCAAATTCAAATTCAAATTCAAAAATCATTTATTCATGGTTTTATAAACGATTTATTTTTTTCCCTACCGTATTAATATAAGATTTAGTTTCAGTGAAAGATGAGCTGAAATATAATGCAATGCATTCGAGCTGCCTGTTTTCATTTAGCCACAATCTGGGGTTGCCAGATAAAAATATGTATGATAATTTTGGGAACTTTTTTTCCCTTTATACTTTTAGATAAGATTTACACCAAACGGAAGTCTATTCTTTTATATATACTGTAACACATGGTTACTTATAAAAAGTAATCATTATGTAAAACTAAATGTATTTTAAAAAGATTTAGATAATGACACTTACCCGAAACAAAATTCATAATATACGTAATCAAACACAGGCCGCTTACAGGATATATATTCACATCTTGATATGGGTCCATTAATCAATTCTATTTTTATAAATTTTGGCAGAAAATTTAAAAAATCTTCGACTATATCTTTTGGAACATAGTAATCTTTCATATTTCCTTTACTTCTATTAAAAACATGCCTTTCCTTTAATAAGTACGAGGGATTGTTACTATTTATATCTTTATTTACGTCATCATTTTTTATATTGAATTCTTCAAAATTATTTTCAATATAATCAAGATTATAATAGTAATGAAGTCTACCAGATAAGTTATTAATATTTTCTTCAGCTAATTTAGTTTTCTTTTTGGCAGTATCACTTATTATTTCATACAATAATCTCTTGCATATTTCCAAAAGGCTTGGTGGAGAGTGGGCTTTGCTTTTGAGTACGACGTTGTATTGTGGACTATCAACGTAGAGTTCCCATTGTCTCGAATCTTGATATAACCTTAATTGACATCTACTATTTTCAGATATACTGTCACAAGTGGGTATTTTGAGGCAACTGTAAATTAATAATTGTTTTTTTTACGCACAAGTAATTTACAGAGTAAAATCGAAATTGTTTTTATTCTTTAAACAGAATGTTAGCAATGAAACTGCATTCACATACATTTGTATTTAAAAACAATAAAATATTTAGAGTTTCCCTATTATCGTGCTCATTTAAGACAACTGGACTCAGAGCATTAGTATAGGCAGAGATAATATTCAATAATACAATAGTAGTATAGACGACTTAAAACGTTTTGTTATTTTACAAAGTATTTATTTATTTACACTTTACTGCACTATTTATTAAAGTAATGAATACAGTTAATTTTAATGAGAACTGCTAAAAAAGGCTAAATGTTTAAATTGTATTTAATTTTGAGATTAAATACTCACAATTACGATTTTACTATGTTATAGCTTTCATGAATTGATATTTGATTACTTACCCAATATTAAGACTCCTAGTCTGCTGGCCTCGGAACATATGATACCACAAAGCATAAGGTATAGATTTTAAATAGATATTCCTCCAAAATCTAAATTCACAGTGATGGTAATTGAATACTGGTTTCTGTGGCAGCCATTGAAGTTTATTATCTGTAAAATATAGTTCAGAATATATATATACATTTCAAACATACAATATTAATACATATATATTTTACACTCATATAATTAATAATAAGAAAACTATTCAACATCTATCGAGAAGCACAGAGATATTATAAAACCACAGGTATTTTCACGATATAGTATAAATTGTGAGTATAAAATACCTATGAAATATTTGTACGTGTATTACAGAGAACTAATATGTTAGCATAAAATAAAAATATGACGTAAAAGATGCAGGTTCAAATCGACTTTGAAATAACATATATAAATTAGTAGATCTTCATATTTTAGTAAAAACAGTAACTAAAACAATATAGTTTTTTGAGATTGTTCGTAATGTGGACTACAAAACCCATTACTAGCAATCAACCATTCCGTGGAAAACAGGAAACCATCGTGCTGAATTCCAGGTGTATTCATTATGATGGATAACTGACCTATCCTTTCATTTTCACCTATCATTCCTCACTAGTCAGCGTATACCGTTATATATATATATATATATATATATATATATATATATAATATATAGCAAAATACCTACCCTTAAATAAAAAAATGTTTCAGTACCTATTCTGTAACTGTAGGATGAAGAAATTGAAAAATAATGTCTTTATTAGTTATGAATATTATTAACAAATATCAAATCATTCAGTGGTTTAAACCTCAAATCAGTAGGTATTTATTTATAATATAAGTTAATTAGTTATTGTTCAGGACTTCCTATGCGTGGAACTTGGAAGTTTTATAGTAGTCCTTTATGGGTTATATTGTTGATATATAAAAAAAAATCTGTCTGCAAAATATCAAGATTCTAGATTCAGTGCTATCGGTTGTATATTAATATAGGAATCAGTCAGTGAATCAGTATTCTCTTTTAAATATGTATTGTGATACAAAAAAACTGGATAAAGCGCTTATTGAAAAATATAAATCACAATAATATCCATCAAATCTAGTAAACAACAGAACAATAGTTTATATTAACTGTGTATGCCTACTTACAAACAAATTAAAACCCGAAAATAGTTTCACATAGTTACGATGCATGAAACAAGAATGAATTAATAAACAAATTTTATGAAATTTAAGTGTAAATTAATTGAATTTTCAAAATATGGATCTCTATAAATGTCAAAAGCAGAAATGTAACTATTAGAATAATAAATTTTTTATTATAGATATTCACAATTTTATTTTTTATAGGTTTTAGTTGTTGACATACTAGTTTTTACCCTCGGCTTCTTTATCCTAACTGTACGTTTACTGACCGGGTTAAGGAATATATATGTCCTTCTCTATCAATATATATATATTTTAATGTATAGTGCGAAAATATATACATTTAGCGGACTTAATATAGCGACTATAGTATGTGTATACCAAAATTTCACACGGGTACTCATTAGTGAAGCAATTAAGGTCTTTCTAGGTAACAAACAAACTCACTTTTATATAATATTAGTAAAGATTAGCAAGAATAGGTAATACTGTTTTACAATAAACTAGGGATATTTCTGAATAATGTATTCACAAATCTTGATACCATGATATAAAAATTTTTTTTCTAAAATAAATAAATCTATTTTGGATACTATTATCAAAATTACCCAACATTAACTTTAATGATTACACCTAAATACTGTTAGGCAACTTGCAAATGGGTCAGTGAAATCAATGGGGAAGCAACCGTTGATTTATCTGGCAGTTTGTTATCGGAACGGTAACTACTGTCTTCCTTACTTTACGAGCTATAAAATTGTAACTGGATCAGGAAATGTATGAAAAAGCACCATTTTAAATAGCTCGTGTGCGGTCGCTATTGTAATTACTGATGTTAATTTTTATTTTCTATTCATAAATTAAAATACGTAAGTCGTGAGTTCGAATCTAGTTGTCGTTTGGCCTCATAGTAATTTTGTAATTTTAATAAATACCATATTCTTTGCCGAGCGTAAAGACATTCTAAATTCAATTATTTTTAATCTAAAGTAACCTAATCGAGAAACGTCGAATCGTTTATTAATTAACAAACATTAACTATGTGACGATTGTAGCAGCTTCTTTTGCACAGTGTAATTAATGCATCTCATAATAATAAATATTACAATATCAAACCAATCGTTTTGTTGTCAGATTAAGAAACAAAGAAGCAGGGCACGAACATCTGAGGATACATTAGCTAGATTACCCAAACTAGAAAAGTTTAGTCCAAGCTAGTTCAGGAAAAATAGTTTCATGAATTGGCTCGACCTACAATCGAAACTATGGCCAGGACTCCATTTACACAAAGCATTGCCCACCATATATTTTAATTCATATTGTTTATATTACGTTTAAATTTATCTTTAGTCCGTTTTCCCCCTTTTTTTAGTTTTATATATTTCTGTTACGCCTTGATCAGATACAATTTAAATTATTCCTCTAGGTTGCCTGAAAGAGACCGCTATTTAGCGATAAGGCCATCCATTGCTACCTCTTTATCTTATGTAATTAAATATATCATTTTATTTGTATACATATTGTTAATCTTTATAATTTGTATCATTCTTTGAAGGAAACAATAAAGGCTTTCCATTCATTTATTCAATGTCCATCATTACGACAAGGAGGTCGTTACATTTAATAATAGTTGTATGAATTTCAGAACATAATAAAGTTCCAGCTGCATCAGATTCTGATTATGCAAGACTTTAATAATGTTTTTTTTATACAACTTAGAATGGCAAACAAGCTGACGGCCCACCTGATGGAAAGTGGCAACCGTCGCCTATAGACATGAGCAGTACCATGGACATAACAGAGTATACTATTTCGCCCATGATACCCCCCATACGTTGCTATTCCTGAGGACTCAGGTGCTATTCCTCTGTATCTAGTAAATTCACGCCATATCCCACACTTTAAACCGAAATACAGCCATGCTAACACAACTACTTCACGGTTGAAACACGAATGGGACAGGGGTACCCAAGCAGTCGAATTTTGTACAAAGTAATATATTTGTAAATATATTACAAATATATTTTAATACCTTACACAAAATTATATTTCCTCGTAATTTACACAACAATAATATAACGTAACAAGACAATAAGGATGATCCAATAACATCATCAAGGCGAAACTCTGTATAATAGTCTTCTATCACATAAACTTGTTTTTATTCATATAGTTGTATAGAAAGAAATCATTCAATAGTAAACAATGTGTGTGTGTGTGTGTGTGTGTGTGTGTGTGTGTGTGTGTGTGTGTATGTATTGCTATATTTAATCACACGGACCAATATTAACAGCATAATAACGTGGGCACTGTCTACCATTAGGGCTCTGTTCTTGTCCATATTATCTCGCAATACCTGGCACTCGTACAAGTGAAAGCTAATAAATAACTCTAATACTATTCCTATATGTATCGTGATATGCATACGGTGCGTGCATCATACAAATACTAACTGAATGGAATGAATTTTGTTGAAATTCGTGTAATTATAACATCGTACCTGGGTCAGTATATAATAATTTACGAAAGTATAACACCGAAGTCTTCAGGCATAGCAACGCATGAAGGGTATCACGAGCTTTATAGTGTATTTATGATGTCCATGGTGGTTGGATGGTGTTTATGTCTATTGAATACACTTAGCACTTACCATCAGGTGGGCTGTTGCCTTCTTCGCTATTTTAAGTTTCATTAAACATCATTATTATAATAGAATGTCCTAGCTTTATGGGAAATTATATTATAATAGAAGTGGCTGAGAGCATAGGTAGTAAAATCGAAACTAATAGATATAAACATCAGATGATTAAAATTGATAAATGCTTCTAACTTTCCTAGTATGAATTATAGGCGTGATATTTTAATTCATTTATTCATTCAATAAATATAAAATAAGTATATATTGAATTTCTTTAAATGTTAATTTTAAATTAACATAAATATGTGTAAACTATCGGGACTTAACGCGACGATAATTTTTTTTTCCAGATAAATAGTACCTACATACCTGTTTCTTTATTGCCGACGTCGGCATTTCCGACAGTGTATTTAAATATTTCTTAATGTTTATAAATACCTATTTATAATATTTACCACAAACTGATAAGTATTGCAACGCACGCAACTCTGCAAGCCTCAGAGGCAATTCAATCAGCTCATTTTCGTCCAATATCAAAAACTTCAAATTCCTCACATCTCCAATCTCATCAGGGATGTGCTTCAATCGATTACCGCTTAAATCCAAGCATTTGAGACACCGTAACATCGATATCTCGCGCGGCAACTCAGTTATGTCATTACCGCTCAAGTACAAACTTTCCAAGTTCTGCAATCTATATATTTCAGTGGGCAGACGAGATATTAAATTATCTTTTAGGTATATATCAGTGACGTCTGATTCCTCCCCTCTCAGCTGTTGGAGGGGAAATTCCGTAAAACCTCTGTAATTCCAGTGGAGTACAGTAGCCGCTAACTTTTCATTGTCGTAATCCATGCTTTATCACCCTTATTATAGAACACAAAATGATTTCGTCTCAATGTTATAATTGTAAAAACAAGTTTACACAAGTAAATATTTAATGTAAAATCATACACATGTTTCTAATTCTATAGAGTGCTATCAATAATCACATTCAAACCAATATTTTTATAACAAGTCAACACAGTATAAAAAAATGCCACGAGCTCTCCCGGTTCCCGTCAACCGATCACTGCATCTAGCAATCGTCACCGAGCCATGGATTATTTTTAAACGACAAGGTCTTCGACTATATAAAAAATACATTAAATTTTTTACAATGTTTCATGAATATGCTTTCTTTTATATGACTTACTATATACAATAAATTGACAGATCACCCTATGAAAAGTGATAATTGTTACTTCTATATATAAATAGTGGCACAGTATATATATGAGTACACTGTGACGCCCATGACCTACATTGTTACATCTTGAGTGAAAAGTATTCATTCATTCATCAACTATTCATTATATCGTTATTATATCGTATTTACTAAAGATTTAATAACAATACCCATCTTTATATGTTTAAACCTGTAATATATACTGGGGGTTATTAGTACACTATTATTTATTTTTCATCATAAGCCAGGCCTATGATAAAAAATATAATAATAAAATTCGTATTATTTTTGCTTGTACAAAACCTGGTTCTTATTTAATTAATAAATTAAAAATACAGAAATATAATTTTTAATATTGTACACACTCCAAAAGGGTGAACCTACAAATAACTTTCCTCTTAAACAGTCGAGTCCACAAAATATATTTTTGATTATCGGTATTTGCGTGTGTGTGTGTGTGTGTGTGTGTGTGTGTGTGTGTGTGTGTGTGTGTGTGTGTGTGTGTGTGTGTGTGTGTGTGTGTGTGTGTGTGTGTGTGTGTGTGTGTGTGTGTTTGCATGTATGTATGTGTATTCACGATTATAGTTGGTGTTTTTTTTGCAGAAATAAATGTGTTTATTTGTTTATAATTAAATAGCGGTCTATCCTCACTTCGCAACATTTTTCTTGAATACAATATATTCTACATCACTCGTTGATATATTTTTTTAAATCGGTTAAGTAATTTTGAAGTTATTTATTACAAACAAATATACAAAAAAAAAAAACAAATAATCCCTTTTCATAATATTGGTTTATATATTTTAAACGAAACAAACAAAATCTTTTCTTAGTCGCTACTAAGGTTACGCCTGGAACTAGAAATACATTAATATACCAAGTTGCTACATCTAATAGATTATATGCATATAAGGTTTTGCTATATAAGTTTATCTCACTTTGGGCTGAAAATCTGGTAAAAAGACATTATTTTTATTTTACCAGAGGAAGATTACAATTTAAAACAGTTGAGATTAAAAAGGGTAACGACACTCCTTTGTAATCTTAAATCTTTTTTCTCTGGTGAAAAGGCAACATCCGTTACCATTAAAATATTTCCGAATTTTCCTCTATTTTCCCCTCATTGTAAGCACCGTTTTTCTTTATGATTAGATAACAGTTACAAAATAAAAAAAAATCTTTAATTAAATTAAAAATAATCATGATTAAAATTAATATTATAAAGGAGAATTTTTATAAGTATTTAATGATAGATATAATTATATTTATTTAAAAAATTGTCATCAATCTTAACACAAATAAATCATTATAATCAAACGAGAGTTCTTTTCTTTTTGTAAAGTTTCTCAAAATATTGCAAAATAATCTCTCTATTTATATATTCCAAGGTTTTAATTTGAATTAAATGCTTGTCTATCTAATAATGTCAATATGGAAATACCCATGTTGGTGAATGTTTTTATTTTAACAATAATAATAATGCTCATGAAATAATATATAATGATTTGCAGATAATTTGTGAAATTTGATAGGAATTCGAGTCTGTGTATCCTATGTATAAATATAATTATCACTTATTCAGACTATGCATCCTCTTTCATTTCATATAAAAACATTCAGTCGTTTAGTATAATTTATTAAACAATAAACATCCCAAAAAAAACATCTATAGATTTCAATGTTTTTAATATTAGTAAGATGTCTTTATGAAAGATTAAAATTTAAATACGAATTTTATTAGTACAATAACATTTTTTTACTTTCAAATTATGCTAATTATATATTATGCTAATTGTATATTAATATATTTTTGCGATAAAGAAAAAAATAAATTAAAAATACATATAAGTTATGATATGACGTGTTTATTTTTAATGCCGAGCATTGGCCGAAGCGAAAAATCAATATCGTAAAGAAATCGCTACGTATGTTGGCTTCGATCCAAAGAAAATCACGTGGGCTTGGTTAGGTCGAGGGCATTTCGCGCCATTAAGTCTAAACAAAATATAAACGAGATAATATATTGTATGTTGCAAATGTTAAATTTTAAATTAATTTTGTACCAGAAAATAAAACAGAATTATAGGAAAAATGGGTAAAACACGAATATGTTTTCGATTTGTTTGTTTTCTATATAAATATAGTATAAATACACTAATCCCAGACTCCATATGTGTATTTCTCGAACATTTCCTTTGTTATTCAGTTCACAGTCGAGATATTGTATTTGAGAATAAATTTATCATTTACTCATGTTCTTTACCAAAATATACATACACTGTACGTTCAAATAGAAAAATAAAAAACATGTTATTTAACAATTTATTGAAGAATCATTCAATTACATTCAGATTTTAATATTACAGAGAGGTCTAATAAAGGTGCTATAAAAAGGATTTAATTTTATATCTAATTTATCACACAGATTGTCAGTACAGAATAGATTTGGATCAGACTTTTAATTTTTATCTAGACCATGATTAGGTATAAAATTACCTACATAAAAATGTAATATAATATTATTATTAGATACTTAAAAAAAAAAAAAACTAAATAAAGAATGACTAGAATATAAATTAGAATGGTGGGTATGCAATACTATTTTAATGGTAGGTATTTAATATTAAATTATTTAACACAAAAATACTCCAAAAGCAATAAGGAATGTAATCTGTGACTTTTTAAATGTGTATAAATCTAAGATATAGGTAGTTTAGATTCACACTGGGTCAGTTATTGACAACAAACCTGTATTAAATAATTTGAAATCACTACAATACTGTTGTGTCATTACTGATTCTAAATAAACAATGCGAGGCAGTTTTCGATGACACTTGCACCTGTAACTGGCACAATATAAATTTGTCCTTTCACTATAGAATCCAAGTATAAGATAAAAGAAAAAGTAATGTTGTAGTTAATAATTTTAAAATATGAAATAATCTATTTTTTCTTCAGAAATATCAAAGACATAAATTATTATTAGAATTGAATTTTGATAGAATAAAGCTTTAATTCGATTATGCACTCCTCAAACTATACTAAAATACAGAAAATGTATTTCATATTAATACATACCTTATAATAAACACTCTTTAAAAATTGACTTATTGAGGTTTACAATACGAGTATAACACAATAAATTAGGTACACATTAACAAAGCCCCACAATGTGGGATGTACGACCTATCCCAGAAATTAATTAATTAATGCGAGCTTTTGAAGATCAATTTACAACAAATATTAGCTAATTAATTTAATGTACTAATGAGTGACGTAGTTTTAAGTAAATTAACACTACCAAATTTTCACAGAATCTGTGGTTTTTTAATTAAGGATAATGAAAATTGTTTATATTAAATATTTTGGTGGTTAAACCTGTAATTATGCAAACAATTTTTACATTGTTGTTCAACATGATGTTTTGAATACCAATGGTAAAATGTACATTAAATATTTATTTAGTCTACTAATACAGAAAATAGAATATAAAAATCCAACTAGATATAATTTATTTAGTGTTTATTTTAATTGTAAATAGTCCCGTAGAAGTAATGATATACTAAGTAAAGATAACTACTTGTAAACTTAGAGCTAATTGCCGTTTACTCAAAGTGTGATATGTTGTAATCACCTAAAAATTATTTGAGGCGATTATAACTTGTATTAGAGTAATCTAATATCTTATTAACTCAGTGAGATCAATAAATTTGGTTTTAATATCTACGAATGATCCTGACTCGACGTCCCTTTCCGTCGCCCTCGTCATCGCTGTCGAAAGAAGACTGCCGGTGCCCCAGCATCAGAGCTTGTATTTCTGGGTTGAGTGGTAATGCTGGAAACGATGAACGTCGCACCATGGGGACCGGTCGTGCACCTAGAAAAAAGTTTGGCGTTGGAACTCGGTTAGGTACTTATACCTAAAACTGTTTCTCTTGGGCTATGTTTTATAAGCATAAAACTCTTTTCCCGAAAAAAATAATTATTTTATACGGATACAAAATATTATATTTTTTTTAAAAACTCTTCAATTATTGTTTTTGTATGTTATTATGTTGCTTTGTTTTGATTAGAATAATAATGTACTCGTATATACAATTTAAAGTTCACAATTATATTTTATTATAAAAATTAGAGTGTTAGAAAGACTAAAGCGTATTCCATTATAAATTGTTTTCTTAGTTTGCTCTTGAAATATGACAATAACCAATCAGACTTACCTTTACTCATACCATTATTAAGCTCTATGATACACTTAATAAGTAAATTATTATTATTAAATATAGGATTCTTATGGTGTGGTATATAATGGAAAATCTATGCAATAAGTTGATTTAAATATTTATTACCAATATACTATATAAAAGTATTAATATTATTTATTACTCTTATATATATATATTTGGCAGGGTGTCAGTGGATGCGGGTGGCTTAGGATCATTCTTTATGACAGTATAAGGGGGAGGTCTCATTTCAGCAGTGGACAGAGATGATGATGATGATTTGTAGAATATGTGAATACTATAATGTGATGATTAAACTGACGATTACATTATTAGACTACTTGTTATATTACCTATAATAATATATAAAATTAATACTTTATATAATATGTATATAAAGTATATTATAAAATATAAACAAAATGCAGTGACACTTTAATATTAAAATGAAATGTATGAAACTGTACATAAGGATGTACTTAAGGAATTCATTAATAAATTGGATTTGATGAAAGGATTCCTCGAGTAAACCAATTTACTACAGCAAAAGCCAATTATACGAGTAAGAAAACTAAATCTACTGCAATACTTCGGGTGATTCAAATAGCCGATTACAAGATTCTAGGTATATAGAATGTATACTATATTCTAAAGTAATGGTCGCTTTGGTCGCGCTGGTAATGAAGCTTTGATTAGCCAATTGGAAAATAATCATGTGCTCAATAGATCGTAAAATAAACTCATAATAAGCATTCGAAAGCTTTATATCTATGAATTGGTTGAAATAAAAACAGGTAACGAGTTTAATGATAAAAAAGATGCAATAATGATAATTAAAATAAAAACTATTTATTATCTGACTGAATATACTACTGCAAATTTGGTGACTACTTCTATCTAGATAAAAGTGTGAATATGGTTACCTGAAAATCTTTTCAGTCGTCTGACAGACCTTGTTTTCGAAACAGATAAAACAACGATAGAGAAGAAAGATTAGAACTTGAAATTTTTAAAATCATAAACGTTTACATTCACTGAAAGAATTCATTCAAATTAGATATTATTGTATATTTAAACATACATTTGTCGCATTACATCACAACAAGAATATAAATTATTATAACATTCAAAATTGTAGTGTAACATACCAAACAGCTTAGCCACCGATTGCCTTTTGACAAGTTTTGGCTCACTGCAAGAAGTTTCACTAATTGATGCAGGCGCAGAACCTTCATGTTGAATTTTTTTCTCACTAAAATAAGAGGTGGTTGATTCTCCTCTGGTATATGGTCTAGTCTGACGACGGTTTTTTGTTTCCTCGTCCGGTGATATAAATGATTCAGCAATCTGAAATAACTGAAGTCCGAATTTGCTAGATTCTCTTCGAAGTGATTTCTTATTAGCAAATTCGGATAATGATTGCCTTCTTTCACCATCTGGATTTAGCTTCCTCCTAGCTCTTTCTTCTTCTTTCACTTTAAGTACATCTAAGACAGCATTTAAAGCCAATATCACTAGAAATACGGTAATACCTATTACCGTTATTGCATTGTTATCTCCATCCGTTGTTTCAGTGGTTTTCTTTTCTTTGAGGTTTATGATTGGTTTCTTTGTAAACACTTCAAGAACACTGCAGGCGTTTCTCACAAATAAAGGAATGACTTTAGTTGTCACTTGTTTTTTGTTTTCTGATTGATTATTTAAAATTATTTCTTGAGTATCTTGTAAAATGTTGTTTGACGTGACCACTTCTGATATTTTGGTGTCATTTTCCTCTGTAATTTCTCTCATGAACCACATATGAACACTGTACAAACAGTAAATGATTACTGAGAATATAAAAAGTAGGATTTTTCGCTCGTTCATGTTTACATCGCAATAGCGTTGGTTTGTTTTGACAGACGACCGCGCGTGCGTGTATTTCTATTCGCGTACTGAACGATATTGTTTAACAGAAGCTTAAAGCTTGTAATTTGATTTATCCTTTTTTCTTCTTTGTTGGTTATTTGAGAATATGTTTATTGATATACGCGGTGTTCACTGGGTCACTGCGTCGTTTTGTCACGTTTTGTCTGAGACGAATGCCATGCTCTGCGCATGTGCAATTTTCAGCTGTGTTAGATGGGTCGAACCTGTAGTTGCTACCAGAAACACAACAGTTATCAACTGATGCGGATACGTTTATGTCTACGAAAATAAAATACGAAAATATTTTTTTTAGCAGTTAATTAATATATGTATTATCAGTATTCCGCTTCACTGAATAGCATCTTATCAAATTCACTTAATTGCATTGAAGTGCATGTTGCTGATATCAGATAATCTGATAAGCGTTTCATTTCAATAACTCTTATCTTAGTATCATTTTATTGGTACTGCGTCATATTCACTCGAATTTTTGGATTTTGACAATTAATAAATCATATAATTAGTATAAAATTTTCACATAAATTATCTTTGTACATGTTAAACAAATAAATATTTTATATGACTAGTAGTCGTGATTATCGGCACTTAGTAGAACTTTGAACACATATTGCTATTATCACAAAACAATTATATTATTCCACAAATTGTTACAATAAATATTTGACCAGTTTCAATGTTTAAGGTTTGTTTTCTACCGTAAAATCAAAGTATGATATGACAAGTACAAATAGAAACAAGTAGGTAGATGTAATAAGAAGGAAAAAAAACTATCGGGTAGTTTTTGAAATGTTGCTAACACAAATTAATTACTTGGTTTAGTAGAATAATTTATTACGTTATATATTTTGTCTCATCCCAATAAACACGATTTATTAACATCGAGTTGTATATCGCGGCTCCGTTTGCGTAAATCAGTATATTTATATAAAATAATGAAATAAATAAATTCGTATATAAAGTATAATATATTGTATAAATTTCATTCGAATTCAGTTAGTAGTTTTTGCGTGAAAGATTACCAAATATCCATCCATCGATCAATACAAATTTTCGTATTTATAGTATTAATAGGATAACAGATCAATCAAAAATAAGGTTGATATGGCAAATATATATATATATATATATATATATATATATATATATATATATATATATATATATATATATATATATATATATATATATTAATAATGTTTTTATCTACAAATATAAAAAATAATACAACAGATGTTACTATTACCACAGGCTGTCGTTGGAGGCGATGATTGGTCGACAGAGCTCGCAATTGGGCAGGGATCGTTTTATTCTTAAAGAACACATAAAATATGTGACTTCCAGCAGTTATGACATTTTGGCCATTCCAATCCGTCAACATAATGAAAATGAATGTTATAATTTTAGAAGCACTTTGTTTTATGAGAGTGCTTCAGAACACGAGTTGTTAATTTAAATACGAACAATTATTTTAATTGTGGCCTAGATGAAAATAAACTTTATGTACAGTTAAGTGGATACCACAATCACATTGATAGCTACGTACTTGTATGTATTAAAAATAAATGAATATGATTACGACTATAGTTGCTAATCAGCGGCCAGAGACATTTGTCGACTATCGCCATTATGGAAAACGTAAGCCTATTTCGTTGAGCATGTTACAGGTAGAAACCTATTTGGTAGAAGATGAGTTTACCACCGCCACTTAAATTAATTCGGGTTCTAACATTTATATGTATTTTAATTCAATGGGGGAATACATAAGTGATACCATGTGCATCATAGCGCATTCTGTTCATTTATAACAGTATCACGATAGCGCAGATATAGCTGACGCTTACCACTTTCCATCAGGTGGGCTGTCAGCCGGTTTTTTTATAACACAGGAGATAAACGTGCATGCACCTCGCCTGATGGTATGTAATTACTGCCGCCCATAAGCACCCGCATCATCAGAAGTACTGCAGGTGTGCTGTCGGCCTTTTAAAAAGGAATATGCTCTTTTCTTGAAGGTTATAATGTCGATCTATAGTTTGCCGTGTACTATTAAAAATGTATGTGGATTAAATCAATTAAATCAAAGCTAGACGTTAGGTACATTTAAAGTTACAAATTTTTACTGATCAGGTAAATGGGACAGAGATATGTTTTTCGTCTTGTTAATCTATATGAATATAATACTAAATATAGCCGTATGATTCCGGCATAGAATGAGCCATCTTTTTCTTTCCCATGGGTGTCATAAGAGGCAACTGAGGGGATTTAATGGTCGAGGGATGAGCAGAAAAGCATAGTTCTTAAAACATCACCAAAGCCTAACTGCGGTTGCCAAATCGTCTGTCGATCGTGGCAACTACTGATAAACTCCCGAATAGGGAGAGACCAATATTCAGCAGTGGATATTTAATGGATTTGATATCAAATCATGATCATCATCAATTTAATAAAGCAGAAGAATTTTGTTGTATGTTTAAACGACCATGGATGAAGCTGCGGGATGTAGCTAGTAATATCAAGTATACGATTCGTCGCCAATACATCAATAGATTTTTACCAGATTGCGCGAATGGATTACGTATCACTCCCATGCGGGGTTCGTTTCACCAATTATTACGATTTTGTTGGAGCCAATCAGCGTTTTTGTATCCATTCAGCGTTTGAATCAATAAATTGTTCTGAATAGGCAATTTGCACAGCTAACGCGCGTTTTTCCAAAGTGTGCTCAAAGCATGTCTAATGAAGCTGAATGGCTTTATGATAAGATATCTTGTCGGTGTTGAAAAATAAACTTTATAGTATGGGGTTAAGAGTTATCTGAGAATTTAATATGAATTTGTGTGTTTAAAAGTGATGAATTAAGGCGGGATAGGGCTCATTGTTAGAAAATATATGGTGGAAGAAATTAAGGTCTAATGGTTAGCATAGTAATTACATGCCTGATGTCATGTTAGATAAAGACATTTTATAAATTTATTTATATGTCTGTGCGTATAAGATTTGTTTTAGACGCATTTTTATTTATAAACAAGCTAACGGTTAATCTAATGGAAAGTGAAAAACTATCTTCAATAGATGATATGATAGATTGCTATTGACTAGGTAGATACATAATTCATATGTTATAAACATATTTTATTAAATTTTACCTGCGATTTGAACCACGTGATCGGGATATGTTCTCTGACCAGTATAAAAAAAGTCTATGTCCCTCTTCATCCCATAAAAAACATGACAACGAAATTTAATAGAGTTTAGTTAAGTCTTAAATAATCGGGCGATAAGTAACAAATCAACAAACTCACTTATACTCACTGTAAATAGATTACTTATAAATTTGTACATTTTGAGAGTAATTACAGGGTACAGAGGAATAACACCTGAGTATACTCTGTTGTGTCCATGGTACTGCTCATGTCTATGGGCGACGATTGCCGCTTTTCATCAGGTGGGCCGTCAGCTTGTTTGCCATTTTAGGTTGTATATAAAAAAAAGAGTATACATATTATTATATGCTCATGATTACAATTTTTTTAATCAAGCAAACAATCAAGATGTACTTGTATTGTATAACCACATTGATTAACTTAATATGTTAGATTATATAGATAGAAGAAAGAGTCTCAAAAACGGGTCAACTCTTTTAATTTGAAAATAAGCTGACTCGTTTTTTTATCAGTGTTCTATATACTTACACATACAGTGTATCTTGACGTACTATTTAATAAATAAAATGAGTGTTTATGCATTAAAAATATGCAGGAATTATAATACTAGATATAGGAGTTATAAAGCAATCACTCATAACTATTTATGACGTAAAATTTAATGAAAAAGTTGACCCACTATAATATATATAATCTAAGCTTAATATATACGATACGTCCACATCTCATCAAGCATCCAATATGGCAGTGGGCAAACCTGTTGCCGTCACGTGGAGTCATAGATATTTACCATCAGACAGTTAGTAGAAACGTTAAATTGTAAAAAAATGTTGACCTTGACTAGATTCGAGCTTTCTATCTGCGCTTTGAAATGAAAGTGAAAACTATTAAAACTTTTGTCAATATAATTTAGATATTTAAATAAGATCCAACTCATGGCTAGAACTAAAAACGTTTTGAATAGCCAATCACAAATCAGGAGGGGAAACGTTCTCTCTTCCTCCATTTGAATTTGAACGTGTCCTTAATGAGAGAATTGGGTTTTGATGATATTGCCTTACCGGTCTCAATTTCAGCTTTATTGAATTTGTTCTGAATACCAGTTTTCCTACATTATTATATGCGTTCCGTGTTTTGAATTAAATTTATTTTCTTCATAACGATAACGTTGAAAAATGATTTTGAAACGGAGCTACTTAATTATTTATATTAATTTATTGAATTCAATTAAAATATATATTAAAAAAAATAAAAAAAAATTTATGCAACTTAGGCAACAAGCTGACGGCCCACCTGATGGAAAGTGGCCTATAGACATGAGCAATATCATGGATATAACAGAGTATACTGTTTCGCCCATGATACCTCCCATGCGTTGCCATTCCTGAGGACTCAGGTGTTATTCCTCTGTACCCTGTAAATTCACGCCATATCCCACCCTTTAAACTGAAACACAGCGATGCAAACACAACTGCTTCACGGTAGAAACACGAATGGAATAGAGGTACCCAAGCAAACGACTTTTGTACAAAGTCTCCCTCTGGTAAATTAAAAAGACGTGATCAAGAATATAATAATAAACAGCTGTAGTTACGTTATATTTTCGCAAAGCGAAACTAAAGGCGCTTTTATACAATACGGGTTGCCAGTGATGATACAGTAATCATAGTCTTATATTACTAGTTATTTAAGTAAAATCCAAGTGGCTCAGCATACTATAAAAATGATTATGCTTAGAATTTTGCTGAATAACGGAATTAATTTTGGATGAGAAGATTTTTTTTTTATACAACTTAGAATGGCAAACAAGCTTACGGCCCACCTGATAGAAAGTGATAACCATCGCCTATAGACAATGAGCAGTAGCATGGACATAACAGAGTATACTGTTTCGTCCATGATACCTCCCATGCGTTGCCATTCCTGAGGACTCAGGTGTTATTCCTCTGTACTCAATAAATTCACGCCATATTCCACCCTTCAAACCGAAACGAAACGCAGCCATGCAAACACAACTGCTTGACGGTTGAAACACGAATGGGACAGAGGTAGCCAAGCAATCGACTTGTGTACAAAGTCTCCCTCTGGTAAAGAAGATTCAAAGCAATTGATATATCCTAAAGAATTAGTAAGATGAAGGGCAATCGACTTATTAAATAGTTAAAGTAACCGACAACTCATGAGGGAGAATTCTTAGGTGGCGAACTTGTATAGGAAACGCAGTGGATTAGTTGGAGTCGAAAATTTCTAGTTGCATCGCAAGGAGTTAATGGACGTAGCATCATTCCTTGTGGTATCTGAAATGGTAATGCTTGCGGTAATAGATTTTTTAAAGTCTGCT